ACATATATATATATATATACATATATATATACATATCTAATATGCATGTTCCACTTTACGATGAATGTTACCCGTCGTTTTTCACACCAAACGCGGGCGGGGGGGAAACAAAACAACAACATGGTAAAGTGGGCACGTCGGGGCGCGCCTTTTTACGCGAAGTGTGTTCCGTTTGTACGTTTACACAACCCGCACCTGGCCGTTCGTCAAGTGGGACTGCCGGGCATCGTAAACGGTGCCCCGTGCGTGCATTTACATAAGAGAATCCCCCGGATCGTCAACGCGGTTCGTTGGACAACGCCTCACATCGTCATTCCCAGTGGTCCCCCCAGCCGCACAAGTCTCACAGGCCCCGCAGGTCTCCGCAGGTCTTCGCAGGTCCCACAACTCTCGCAGGTCCCACGGGTCCCACAGGCGCCGCAGGTGCCACAGGTCGCGCAGGCCCCACGGATCCCACGAGTCCTCAGAGCCCGCATGTCTCTCGCAGGTTCTACCGAGGTCGACGTTTTGTACAGGTTCCACAGGTCTTACAGGCCCCACATGTCCCACATGTCTCGCATGTCGCACAGTTCGCGCAAAACCCACCGATCCCGCAAGTCGCCCAGGCCCCCGGTGTGTCGCAGACCCCGCAAATCGCACAAGTCCCACAGGGGCACAAGTTTCACACGCCCCACAGGCCCCACAGGGCGGGACGCTAAAAAACGGCGGGGGATCAGGCGGGGACCCAGTACTTAAGCATACTTACCCATCCCCTTGCAACAAAGATTATGGCAAACGTGTCACAGGGATGGAAACCGAAAACATGCTGAATCAGACCAGGTGGGGCCCGTTGCGTCAAGTGACACCCGCCTGTCAATGTCAATGTCGCGGAAAAAACGTATCGTCTGCATTGCGTGCTGCATGTCGGCCATTCGACTGGTGGGAACGAATCCGCAAGGCATACCGTGGAACCGCCCACGCCAACGGCCCTGTGAAAGAACAGCTTGGAAGAGCACCCGGGCATTAAGTGGCGTCCGCTTCCCAATGTTGCCTTTGGCCGCTAAAGCCAATATGTTGCACACCAATGACCTGACACATGGTGCGCGCCTGCGCACGCTGCCAACGTTGAAAAGGTAGGTGTAGCTTAAGGATCCTTTTTGAGCGTTGCCGCCTCCATATCATTCACCATGATCGTTTTGTGGGTTTTGTTTTGATTTCCCCAGTTGTGTACGGTAGGTCCGCGTCGTGTCGACTGGCGGCGACCCCGCCGCGGGCGTTCAAGGTTGAACGCCGCCAGTGGCGCAGGATCGGCCTATATACATATGTATATATATATATATACATATATATATATATATATATGTGTATATATATATATATGTAACGATCTGGCGATCGAAAAGCCGCCGACCATTCAAGGTTGAACGATCCACGCGGTGTCAGAAACCAACGCCAGGGTCGTCATGACACGGACCTGCCGTAGGGATGTCAGGACGCACCAGCTAGGTTGATTTCCCAGCAATGATGTTCAGGTTTGCGTCCGCATTGTCCGGCTGCGGCAATCATGTCGACCCGCGGCGTTGGAAGTCCCAGGTATGGTGTTCTGGCACGGTTGAGGATTCACAGACGGTTGTCCTCAAGTCAGGGACGTAATAAAACGAGGGAGTTTGGAAAAGAGAGGGTCCTGCGCTTATCTTCCGCTTCTTCCCCGTCCCTGTCCGCGTCCTTTCGCCCCTCCCCTCATCATTCGACCTCGTCCTCCTGAGGTCCTCCTGCTTCCTCGTCGTCTTCTTCTCTCCAAGGTCCGACACCCCCTCCCTCCTCCTCACCCTACGGGTCCTGCTCCTCGTCCTCCTCCGCCCTCCCCCCTTTCGCTCTGCCGCCTTTTCTCTTTTGGCCTCGGAGCATCAGAGCGGCAAACAGGTGTAGTGTGCGACGTCGACTTCTGCGTGGGGCGCATCCCCAATCGGGACCCCCCTTCGAAGATCTCGGGCTTTGAGGCCTTCAGAGCTCACAGAAAGCAGTGGGCCTCTTCTCTCGGACCCCCCTTCGAAGATCTCGGGCTTTGAGGCCTTCAGAGCTCACAGGAAGCAGTGGGCCTCTTTTCTCGGGCCTCCGGCTACACTGGCCAGTGGCCATCGGGCTCGTCGACCAGCTCGGCGTGCCCTCCGCCTCTGAGGGAAGAGCTCGTCCGTCCTCATCCTCTCCGTCCTCCTCAAGGTCTTCGTCCTCCCCCTCCTCCGAACACGCCGTTCGTCGAGAGAAGTTTTGGACGCCCGAATCCCAATCTACTTCTGGCGCCTTCCTGCTTCAATCAACTATCGTTTTTCCGAACACTCCTTTTCAGGGAGTGGGCAGAAATCCGATCTACTTCAACGCCATCCTTCTTCATGTTTTTTTAACCCACTTCTTCCGACCGACGGGTCTCCTTCTCGCTCCTCGCACCGCCTCCTCGCCGCCGCCCCGGGCCGCTTCGCATCGAGGTCGCGAAGGGCGTTCGCGCGGCTCCTCTCCCGCCTCTTCGGAAGAGGATGGCTGGATGAAGTTCTCGCCCTCGCCACCATCGCCCTCCTCACCAGAGGTCCGCTGGCTTGAGCGACACCGAGACGATCAGGCTGCTTCGGCGGCAAAATCCGAATCCCATCCTCGCCGATCCACGATTCAGGCAACTCGATTGGCGGCGGGGGTGGGGTTCAGAATGCGCCTTCGGCATTTGCCGAGGACGTGGCGAAATCCGAACCCTAACCCCCGTGTGGGGGTAAGGTTGGGATGCCGCCACACATTCCCACCATTCTCGGCCTCGCGGGGGCCGTCAGGGGCAACCGCTGGTTTCGGCGACGGTTTCGCCTGGCTGGATTCGCCCGGCTGGGTTCGCCCAGCTGGTTTCCCTGCCTGGCGAAACTAGCTGCCGTCGGCGAAACCAGCTGCCGTCGGCGAAACCAGCTGCCGTCGGCGAAACTGCCCGATCCTTCCCGCCCGCTAAGGTCCCCCGCCCGACCCGGCCCGCCCGTTAGTGTTCGCGCGTGTTCGGTCGAGCGTGCCCGACACTTGAATGTCCCGCCCGCCCGACCCGACCCGCGCGCAGGGTCCGCCTGCCCGACACGCGATGCCCGACACGCGATGCCCGACGCCCGACGACGACGACGACGACGACGACGACGACGACGACGATGACGACGACGACGACGACGGCGAGGACGGCGGCGGCGGCGCCGACGCCGACGCCGACGGCGACGACGACGACGGCGTCGGCAAAACTAGCGCTGGCGTAACCAGCGCTGGCGAGAAAAGGTGCCGGCGAAACCAGCGTGGCGAAACCACCGGGGCGAAACCAGCGCCGGCGAAACCAGCGCCGGCGAAACCAGCGCCGGCGAAACCAGCCGTCGGCGAAACCAGCGGGGCGAAATCTGTGCCGGCGAAACCAGCGCGAGCGAAACCAGCTCATGCCTCGTCAGCACAGGATAATAACACCGGCCCCCCCCGAGAAGGGCCAGCACGACCGTGAAGCGGTGTGGGGGACATGGCCGAAGGTAGTTGCTGGGCCACGTGGCCGCCAAGCATGCACAGCCGCGGCAGATGGTGGATCCCCAGCTTCGACAGGGGAAGGCAACGGCATAAGCAGAGGCTTCACCATTCCGAAGAGGAAATAATTGCATAAACATAAGTTTTCGGCGATCCGCGCGGATCTCCTGGATCAGCGCTGGGCCCCCCTGGCGGCTTCTTTGGCGCCGCCCCTGGCGCGCTCCGCGCTCCGCGCTCCAGGGAGGGGGATCCATCGCATATCCAAGAAGTTCGCGCGGATATCCGAGAATTCATGTGTGTGCAGTTCCTTGTTCTCTTTAACTCTTGGTTCTCCCCGCGGATATCTTGGCCTTCGGACGTGTTTCACTCTCTTTTTGGGGCCTCGTGGAGTCCTCTGGACGCGGATGAGGAGGATGAGGAGGATGAGGAGGAGGAGGAGGAGGAGGAGGAGGAGGAGGAGAGAGGAGAGGGAGGACGAGGAGGAGGGCGGAGGAGAGAGGGGGATGAGGAGGAGAGTCCGCCCGCTACGGGCGCCGATCTGGAGCCAAGAGGAAGGAGGAATAGAGGGAACCGGGGGATGAGAAGGGAGCGCCCTTTCGTCTTCAGGGCAGAGCCCTGACGCCCGATCGCATAACGTATGGTGGGCAGCAACACACGGACGGACTGCGAGGGATGACAGCGGCAGCGCTCCTCCGTGTCGTCCTCCCTCTCCTCCCTCTCTTCGTCGTCGTTCTCCTCCTCCTGATCCAGCCCGTCTTCGTCTTTGCCCTTGTCTATTTTCCTTCTCCTGCCTCTCCACCCTCATCGCTTCCATCCAGTCAGGCCCCTCACGTTGAATCCCTCACCAAGCTTCCCCTCCCGTCCTGCCCTTCTCTCCGTCTCTCCGTCTCTCCGTCTACCCAGCACGGCCCACCCCGCCCCACTTCCCTCTGGCCTTCCCACCTCTTTCCCGCCTCCCCTCCCCTTCCCTGGTCTCTACCGCGGGTCCTCACCGATGGCCTGCTACCCGTGGCCCGTCCCGGCCTCCCCCCTCCTTGCCTCCTCCCCCCTCGTGCCTTCCCAGAGGTGGCGCAGGCACGAGGGGGCCCCAACGGTTCCAGGATTTGTGTGTGCGTGTCGTGTCGTTCGGCGGCGGCCCCACCGCCGGCGTTCAGCGTTGAACGCCGCCGGCGACCCAGAATCGGTCGATGTTGAACGATCGGAGGCTGGAAACTGCGATCGTTCAAGGTTGAACGATCCAGCGCGGTGTCAGAAACCAGCGCCAGGGTCGGCACGACACGATCCTACCGTACCACACCCTGCCCGCCCTAGTCAGATTCCACCGCCCGGGGTCACTCCCAGTCTACAGAAACCGCGCCCCAGGGAGGGAATGGTGTATGCCAGACCCACGACCAGGACCCTCGCTAGCCCCCTGGAGCTCCTGGATACAGTCTGCACATTGTTGCGGCGGATCTGGGCAGCCTCCGACCCCTCCCCCCCCGACCTCCGGCTGCCCCCAGGGCATGCCCCACTACGGCGGGCACCAGGCCGTCGCCGGCGCATACGGAGGGGCCCACTGCCGCCGCGGGGGCCGCTGATCGCCCACTCTGCCGCCCTGCACTGCCTCCCGCCTCGCCCCCCTCAGACATTACCACGTCTTGATTGCAGTGGCCTCCGGCCAGTGCCGCCGATCCAGGGCGCTGCCGATGCTGATGGAATGGGTGTCCGTGCATGCTGACGAGACATGCTCATACGATGAACATGAGGAAGTCGGTTGCGAAGCCTTTGGTTCTTTGGAAATGACGCTCTCGCGTGAGTCACCATGAGAACCATGATATGCTGAAATAGCTGTTGCACGCCATCTTAAGGGGGGCGCTTTTGGAGGACCCCCAAGACGTCTGAAGAAGTACAATTATTGAGGATCCAACTGTTTTGCCACATGGTTGTTCAAATGTAAGCGTTTTGGACGATTTTGAAAGCAGTCGTCTGCCTTTTTGGGGGGCGTCTTGGAGGCATTTGTGGGACCGTCGGAGGCGAAGCCCCCCAGTCCCCGAGCACTGCATGGCGCCGGGAATAGCGTCCCCCCCTCCCTCCCTTGCAGAGCGAACCCTCCGCCCCCCCGGCCCCCGAGCACTGAATGGCGTCGGGAATGGCGTCCTCCCCCTCCCCACCCCTCGCAGAGCGAACCCCCCCCCGGCTACCGAGCCGAGCACTGAATGGCGTCGGGAATGGTGTCCCCCCTCCCCCCCCCCGCAGAGCGAACCCTCCCCCCACCCTCGGCTCCCGAGCACTGCATGGCGCCGGGAATGGCGTCCCCCCCCCACCCTTGCAGAGCGAACCCCCCCCCGGCTCCCGATCACTGAATGGTGGCGCGCGCCCCCCCCCAGGCAGAGCGAAGCTTGAGAGAGCGCAAGTCCACACTCTCAGAAACTTGCACGCCGGATCGGCAGCTTTTTGTCAGCGCGGGGTCCCCGGAAGGCCTGGCCTGCTCCCCGGGACCCGTTTCTCATTTTGGGTCGGTTCTCGATGGTTCCCTCCGTTCACCTCGAGCCGCTGGTTCTTTTTGTTCGCCCCGGGTCGTGCTATTCGTAGGGGGCGAACGCATGGCCGAGACTTCCCCCTCGCGATGGATTTACGGCGCGGGCATGTCTGTAGGGGGCCACACGCGCACCCTACCCCTACCCCTACCCCCCCGAGCGAAGCGAACCCCACCCTCTCCCCCAGAGGGGGGTAGGGGTAGGGTTCGCGCGTGGCCCTCCATGCAGTCTGGACACCTCCCGTCCGAAGCTCGTCCTCGGCGCGAGCGCGCGTGGGCCCTCCCGACACTGACCTTCCAGAGAGCTATTTTTTAGCACTAGAGGCCTAAAAACCTAAAACACTGAGCGGACAGCCTCAAACCAAGACGTAGAATAGCTTTGGGATAGGTTTTTAAGTCGCGTGCTATGTTTTTGCCCTCTTGGAAGGTCAGGGTAGGGGGGGGCCTCGCCCCCGCTCCGAGCTGGGCGCGGGGCGCCGCGGGCTGGGCGCGGCCCCCCCCCCCCCCCCAGGGCCGGCGGGTGGCCCGCCCGGCCCGCCCCCCGCCGGGCCCGCCCGCGAGAGGCCGCCCGCCCGACCCGCGCGCTCGCTCGGGTCCGTCCGCCCGCTCGCCTGCGATCGCCCGCCCGCCTGCAGGTCCCGCCCGTGAGAGTCCAGGTTGAAGCTCGCTGAGGGGCAGCGAACGCGGTCCGTGTTTCTGGGGCGACGGGGGATAGGGCAATGCTTTTGCAGGGCAAGAGCAAACATGAGCAGCCCAATCGTGGGCAAGAGCAGACCTGGAATCAGAGCTTCTCGCGAAGGGCGGCGGTAAGGATTGCTGTTGACCGATCAAGCGCGCCCGCCGAGCGTACGGGGATCTGGCCCTGGAAACAACGCTGCCCCCCCAGCGACCTTCAAAGTCTAGGCTCAAGTCAAAGTAGGCGACCTTCAAGTCTAGGAGTACTCAAGAATAGTCCAAAGATCGTCTAAGGGGTTATTTTTTGAGTCTTTTGGGTCATTTTGGGGACGATTGTTGGGGTACTTCTTATTTCTCGTCGAAGATCCCCCTGTAGGGGGACACGCCCGACTTCAGTCTGGTCCTCCTAGATGGGGTCGGAGTAGGCGGGGTCGGAGGTCTGCGCCGCATCGCCGATGCATTGCCGATGCGGCTCGGTGTGGAGCCCGACTTTCTCCACGTCGACGTCGCCGATGCAGCGCCGACGTCGCCAGTGCATCGTCGATGCATCGCCGATGTATCGTCGATGCGGCGCGATCCTCCGACCCCATCTAGTCTATTCCGACCCCATGTAGGCGGCCTCTGGAGAAGAGGAGGACAAGGTGCCGATACTGCTACCTTTCGACCGTTGTCCCCTCTTTCGGCCTCTTCGGAGGCCCACGCGGTGACTGCTGGATTCGCCTCGAAATTCCGGTCAGAACGCACCCCGGGAGAGGTCCGGGGAGTAGCGTTATCGGCACCTTTTGGTTGCCCAAGCCTGCCCGCCCTGTCTACCAGGCCACCAAGAGCCGCCCGCCTGACCCGCCCGACCGTGTCCCACGCGCCCGACAGGGTCCGTACAGTCAAGACGTCGAAACCAGGAACAGTTTGGGTAACCCCAGGAAGCATTTAAGAACCCCCCCCCTCCGGCAAATCGATAACCCTTCCGCACCCTGGAAGCGTTACCTGGCACCAGGAGCCCTCCTTTGTGTCCGGGTTATTTCGGCCCATCGGAATATCGAATAAATAATGCGGTGCTACGATATCGCCGGGGGGGTTTTAAATGCTTCCTGGGGTTACGAAGGGGGTGTTCCTGTAGCCCTCCTGGTGCACGCTGGCGCTCTTTCGGCCGAGAGGGGGCGTCGTTCCTGAGTTGCCGTGGCTCATCTCGGCGGCCCGACCGTATGCTCGCTTGCTCGCCCGCCCGCCCTGCCCGTCCCGCCCGTTAGGGTCCCGCCCGCTCGATGTATGTCGGGCGTGTCCCCCTACAGTCGGGGGCGGAAAAGAGGGGGGTGATGACTAGGGGGGGGGGATATCATGGCGGGGGTCATGATATTTCCCCAGATTTCATGGCGCCTCTTCTTGTTTCATTACGTCCCTGGCCCCCCCGCTGGGCCGCGCACATGCCGCCGGTCATGATTTGCACCCCCCCCCTCTTGGACACCCCCCTCTTGGCCGCTCCCGATACAGGTGGATTTCCGACGAAAAATGAAACAATCCCAAACATACTTCGAAAAGGTCAGAAAGTACTCACAACATCCCCAGACTATGTTTTGATTAGTTTTCGATTATGGTCTGGGTATTTTTTATTTTTCGTCGAACGTCCCCCTGTACGGGGACAGGCCCGACTTAACGCTCGACCGACCCAGACAGCGGCGATGATGCCGACCGCCGGCCGCCGGCGCAGGCGATCGCCGGCCAAGACGACCGCCCCGACGACCGCGCCGAAGACGGCCCTGGCAAAGAGGACAGCGGGCGAGTCTTGGACCGTGGGGCCCTCTTGGAGCAATCTTGGGGCGATCTTGGGGGCCTCTTCGGCCGTCTTGAGCCGTCGGAATGCCGAGAAGAAGCGAATGCCAAAATCCTTCCAAGACCTAAGGATAATCAATGATTTTGGCCTCTTCCGGCCCTCCTGGAGGACCTTTTGGAGGCCTCTTGGGCCGTCTTGGAGGCCTCTGTGGGGCCTCTTTGGCTGAACGACCAGAGAAGACGATCCCAGCGAAAACGGCGTCAGCCAAGCCACTGGCGAGAACGACCCTGGCGAAGACGTCCCGGCGAGGACGAGGACGATGCGAGCGATCATGAAGATGAGGATGAGGATGAGGTCTATAGGGCGAGGACCCCCCCGAGGTCTCTGGAGGTATTTCCGCGCCTCGGAGAGTCCCGCAGGAGGGGGTATCCTCCAGAGGCCCCTGGAGGATTTAGAGCGGGAGATGTCCAACGACATCGATATTTCTCGATCTTCGCCGGCCGAAGAAGAAAACAACAGCATACTTCTAATGAATCTGCTAGAGGCCCGCGCAGATTTCTCGGTTCGGCGCTGGGCCCCGGACAAGCGCAGATCCAAGAGCTCTGCGCGGAGCTCCGAGAGCTCCCGCGTCTGCATGCCGTCCTTGTCCTTCCTGGCGGGAAGGCGGCGATGACGAAGACGAAGGCGAGGACACCGACCGCAGCGTCAGCGCCGCCCGCGGGGGAGTGAAGGCGGCGCTGGCGTCCCCGGGAGCGCCGTCTACGGGGGCATGCCAGGCTCTATGCTGGCCCCGTGCTGGCGCTGCTGCTGCTGCTGCGGCCCCGTCGTGAGGAGAGGGGAGGAGGAGGAGGAGGAGGAGGGGGAGGAGGAGGAGGAGGAGGAGGAGGAGGAGGAGGAGGACCAGTGCAAACCCAAGGACTCATCACCGATGTTGGAATGAGTCCTCGCTTCAAGCTTTCGCTTCACAGGCCGCTGCAAGGATTCATTCCAATCGAGGGAAGCGACACGTGTGGAGACAACCGTTTGAAGATCCTGAAGCGGTCAAATCACCAGTCTCGGGACTCTAACGCCACGTACCTGTTTGACTGTTGCGGATTGGCGACCCTGATTCGCGTCAGAACGGCATTCGCGGGATCTCGCACCGCGAATGAACATAATTGTTGCGCCCTGACAGTCTGTTTCAAAGAATCACATCTCGTACGATAACCATTTGAATTCGCGAAAGTCTTGCAAATTCGTGACTCGATTGTGCGCAGCGCTGAGGCGAGAGGCACATTCTGAAAAGGAGCCGCTTCCAATCCGTGAGACTCTTGAAGTTTCTAAGACGCATTTGCGCGGCGCTAAGGCGCGAGCCACATTTTGAAAAGGAGCCGCCCTCAATCTGCGAATCTCGTGAAATGTTCAAGACGAATGCACTCGGCTCTCAGGCGAGAACCACATTTCGAAACCGCCCGCCCTCAATCCGTTAAGCTGTCGCACGCGGCGCTGAGACGGGAGCCACATTTTGGAATCGTCCCGCCCTCCATCTGTGAAGCTGTTGCCGTTTTTTTTGTTTTTTGCATCCGGATCATACGCTGTAAGGACGTTTCAGGCGGGACGCCCCGCCTGCCCTTCCGACTGGCCTCGGGGTGTGACAGGCGGGAGTTAACCCCATGCCCCCGATAATCACAGGGTGGGGATAATAATGGTGAGGCTTCTGGCGGGATGATGAGCTTTCCCCGGCAGGTCGCAACATGCAGTGGAGGCCCGTGCCAAGAAACACCTTGCTTACCTAAAGGGTGCCCTTGCTTTCTTGGGTTTCGATGGTTCGGCTGTGGAAGGCGTGACGCTCCCACACCAAACACCAATGCACGTCCTGGGGTCTCAGGGTCCGGTTTCTTGTGGAAGGATTCTTGAGGTCGGGCTTCCACTGTAAAGGCGAAGGTGCAGGAGGAGGGGGGGCGAACGGAGTCATGCACGGAGTGCCTCATGTTATAACGATACCGTGCTCGCTCTTGCGGAGCCTCCCTGGAGGGGTGGGAGGAGTAGGAATCTTTTTCAAATACTCTGGGGTAGCGATAACGTGCTCGCTCAGGCGGGGCCTGCCTTGTGGGGTGGGAGGAGCAAGAATCCAAGACATATTGAGCGTTTCGCTTGAGACTTTCTCACACACATGTTAAATCAATGTGCGTTTCGCCTGAGACATCCTCACCTCGCGAACGGCGTATGACGATGATAGCCATAGCCATGATGATGAGGATGATGACGGTGATGATGATAATGTTGATGCTGATGATGATGATTAGTAGTTTGTTGATGGTGATGAGGATGATAAAGATGCTGATGCTGATGACTGGTGATTGTACTGCTGGCTGGTGCTGAGCTGATGCTGATGATGATGATGACGCTGATGACGCTGATGACGATGATGGCGATGAAGATGACGATGATGATGATGATGATGATGATGATGATAATGCTTATGATGCTGATGCTGCTGATGATGCTGATGATGAGTTTTCAAACCATGATAACCATCTTCGATCTACGATGCATACTTCTCCCGGCGATCATGAAGATCGACCCCGCCAATCCCCACCGCTGACCAAAACTGTCTTGGCTGGGGATATCATAAGGATCGTGGGAAGGGGGGTATTGCTTTATTATCTGGGGCATGCGGTTATCCAGAAGGACAAGGGATGGAAGAGTAGGGAGGAGGAGGGGAGGTGGAGGAGGAGGAGGAGGAGGAAAGCCAGGAGGAGGAGGAGGAGTAGGGAGGAAGAGGGGAGGTGGAGGAGGAGGAGCAGGAGGAGGAGGAGGGAATCGAGGGTCGAGAATCCAGGTCTCGGACAGTATTTTGAAGCTCTTCGGGCCTCCTGAGGCTCTAGGCCTCCCAAATGGGATCCGAGTAGATGGGGTCGAGTGATCGCCTCGCCTCGCCGATGCAGAGCCCGAGTTTACCACGCCGACGGCGGCGATGTATCGCCGACGTCGCCCAATCGCGAGTCGGGCAGTGCCAAGGGGGGTCACCACTAGGGGCGTTACCAGATGTTCCTGAGGATCGATATCCCAGGATCGAAGTTCGAGGAGGTCTTTGGACGTTTGGGGTCGTGGTGGGAGGGCCCAGGAGTGACCCACATGCCCCACTTCCTTGAAGACGTGTCATTTCCATGAGGAAGTGGCGACTCCCCTAATCTTGGCATCGCTCGGACGTGTGCGTTTTTTCCTCGGCGAGGACCTATCGAGGAGCATCCTTGACCATTTGGCGACAAACATCACGCACGAAACCTAAAAAAAAACACAAAAATGGACGTCCGAGCGATGGCGAGTAATGGCCAGCCCCCTTGCCATTGCCTTGCCCAGGAGGGGGGGGGGACGAGGTCGAGGATCGAGGATCCAGGTGTGCCCCTTTTCGAGCTCCTGAGGCGCCCTCTCAGCCACGCCTGGATTTCCATGAACGGTTTGGCCATGACGGACCTGTGCAGGACTGGTCTGGGAGCCAAGTTGTCATCCCCGAGCCTGGACCTCAAACGTGTAGGGCAAGTCAAGATGGCAGGGCGTTGGCAGTTTTCGCCAGATGGTTTCTGTACCCGAGAGCTCAAGGTGCGCATTTCTCTGTTCCAGGTCCACTACCAGACCCTGGCGGCAGCTTCTTGAGCAAACGGTGCAAGAGCTGCAACCCTACTACATTCTTGTTTCGCCTGCTGCTCGCTCTACACTAACCCTATCAGGACGGTTGACGAGTCGCTCACTCCGCTGGCCCATTTCGCATCACTGTGGCTGCGTGGTGGTGTGCTGTGCCCAGGGGGAACGGTAGGGCAGGCAGGAAGTTCTTCCAGGAGATCTTTGGAGATGTGGCTCGCACCTTGGCTCCAGAGGGCCCCAAAGCCGATCGACTGTTCCAGAGTGCCCCAAGATGGTTCAACAGAGCTCCAGCAGAGTTTCGTGACGTACATGGGTTGTTGGTCAAAGTCCTCGTGGATTCTTCCTCGGGTCTCTTCGGAGGGAGCCTCTGGGGAGCAGTTTTGAAGCCTCTGGGAGCCTCCTGGGGGCTTCTTGGGGGCCACTTGGGGCTTCCTGGGGGCCTCTTGAGAGTCGTGGCGGACTCTTTCTGGGCCTCCTTGGGGCCTCACAGCCTCTCTGGGGGGCTCCCTGGTGTCTCTGTGGAGGCCGCGGGCTCGACATGTCTGTTTGGGTTCCCCCGCTTGGGGCCCCCGCTTGGAGCCATCCCGGGGCCATCTTGGAGGCCTCTTGGGGCCATCCTGGTTTTTTGTTGGGGCCCTCTTATTCGATTCCTCCGATTCGATTCGACTCGATTTCGATGTGTTCCGATTCCGATTCGATTCGATCTGGGATTCCGATTTGAGTTCCGATTTTTTGTTGGAGGCATACTCGCCTGCCGATTTCTGCCGATCCGACTTTTCCCGACTCAGCTGCCGATTTCCGACGATCCGATTCATGTCGATCGCCGATCCGACTTGTCGATCCGATCCTGGGCTCTCCTGCCTCTTGGAGACTTTTTGGGCCGTCTTGGAGCGATCTTGGGGCCTCTCTGGCCGTCCAGGGCGGCCGGCAGCTCGAACACGAGGTGGCACCTCCCAGATCGTATCGTAAAGTCTTGGGTGCCTCCTGGGCCGTCTTGGGGCCAACCTTAAGGCCATTCGGGCGCTCGGGGGGGTCCCCGAGGTCGCGCCCAGGAAGCCTGGCATCTGTGACCGGACGTTGCCGAGACTTGCGGGGACCCTGCCGGGGTTCTTTTCGTCGGGGGACCCCCACGGCCGCCACGCGCGCGAGAACTAGACATATTCTCAAATTCGTACTGGAGAGTTCCGCATACTTCTGTCCCGCTGGGCCGGCGAGTCAAAATTCAAATCGAAGTTGTCACGAGCTTCCCGGTAAGGTTGTAAACGCAAGCTTTGTATACTATCATTTTGGCTGTAGCTCGTACGATAGGACCATTTTAACGCTACACCTCTTTGCGGCACACACGGCATAGCAATCAGGAGAACTTGAAGTTGGGTGCGAGGAAGGACTCATCAGGAAAGGGATTGAAATGTTCACCAGGGAATTGAGTAACATGAGAAGTGGTGACTGAGCATGGTAGATAGTGGCCTGAGGCTCGGGGAAGAGCGGACGAGCACGAGAAGGAGGAAAGGTTTGAACAAGAACAGGGGCAAGTGTGATCATGCAAAGACGAGGCGATTTATATGACAGTGGAGAATGAGGCTTCAGGAAAGAGGTATCTGTATCGAATGTGGCTCAATAGCAAATAACATTTCGGCAACGTCTATATTGAGGAGGCGGAGCAGGGAGAGGGAGGAGGAGCAGCATGAAAGAGAAGGTGGAGGACGAGCTGGCGACGACGAGTGGAGGGAGGGAGGGATGGGGGCGGAGGTGGGGAAGGAGGAGGCTGAGGGTACGCATGCATCTGAGGGCGGACGACGACGACGACGACCTTCGAGAGCACCCCCGAAGCCTGCGCCAGCCTCCGAGAGCCTCCTGGGAACCCTCGAAGACGTCCACCCTCCTGTATACAGAACTGGCGCAGAGCGCCGAGGACCTCCGAACAGCATCGAAGCCCACGAACGTCCACAGCGACAGGCGGCCGTGCGCCCCCGACCGCGCCCCCCGCAGGGCTCGTTTCGATTCCTCCGATTCGATTCGATTCGATTTCGATGGTTTCCGATTCCGATTCGATTCGATCTGGGATCCCGATCTGAGTTCCGATTTCTGATTGGAGGCACACTCGCCTGCCGATTTCTGCCGATCCGAATTTTCCCGACTCGGCTGCCGATCTCCGACGATCCGAGCCATGTCCGTCGCCGATCCGACCTGTCGACCCGATCCTGGGCTCACCGGGCTTTGCGCCCCCGGCCGCGCCCCCCGCGGCGCGCACGAGGCGGTGCCGGCGCCGGCGCCTGCGCGGCGCGGGACGGCGCCGCCGCCGCGCAGGCCTCCCGGCCGCCCGCCGCCGCCGTCGGGGCCGCCTGCCGATCGGCGCCGTCGCCGCCGCGGCGCGCGCGGTCTCTTCGGCTGCGGGCGGCCTCTGGCGGGGCCTGTGCTGCCGCCACGCGTCGGAGGAGGAGGAGGCACCCTCGACCCCGACAGCCACCACTCACCAAACCACCCCAGCCCAACCCGAAGGCTTCAATTTGCCTTCCATTTCCAGGGGGGGGGGTCCGGGAGCACTGACAAAACACATGGAACCCGCACCCCCCCCCAACCCGAAATTCGGGTCAAGTTCGGGTCTTCGGGTTGGGTTGGGGTGGTCTGGCACGTGGTCAGACAGTGAAGGCGCGCATCAAGAAACCACGTGCTTTTCGTCTGGGCATCCTGGGTTTCTTCGCTCCTCGTGCTGCGGCGGTGGCTATCCGCAGCCGTTGAAGGAGCTGCTGCGTTCACGGTGCTCCGGGCTTCCCCTCGGGTGTACCTCGCGCGCGGGTTCTCAGGGTTGGGTTTCTTGCGAGGGTCTCTTGCGGCCGCGCCCGCACGGTACGCTCCCCCCCCCGTTCTCCCCTCTTTGGGCCTCCTGGGAGGCCCTCGTCGCCACCGCCGGATGCGCCTCCGCATCCTGGTCGGGACGCACCCCGGGAGAGGTCCGGGGAGCAGCAACAGCGCTGCCCTCTGGCCTTCCCCCGGTGCGTCTCCTCTGGCGCGCAGCGGTCGCTTCCCGGGCCAGCGCCCGCCCCGCCCTGGCAGCGCAGGCGGTGGTGCTGCCCGAGCTCCTGCGCCCTCACGTGCGGGTGCTCATTGGTGCTCGCCACCGCCCGCGGTGGCGACCCGCGCGCATGCGGTGGCGACGTGTCCCACCCCGCCCAAGCGGCAAGACTGGCCCTACAATTATTGGTCTTCGTGCGATCCCCACCGAACCCCTCGGCGCCTGTCCTCCTCAGCTTCCTGCTCCCTTCCCTTCCTCCCTCCTCCATCCTTCCTCCTCCCTCAGTCCTCCTCCTCCTTTTCCTCTTTCTCTTCCTCTTTTCTTCTTTTTTTGAACGTCCAAAAGCTGCACGACCCCTGCCCCGGCAACTGCGCCCCTCTGCCCTGGCCAATGTTTCCGAGCTGACTCCGAAGTCGGACTCGGGCGTTGGGCACCTGCCAGCAGGCGAGCCGCCGCCGCCGCCAGCGCTGATGTCTTTCAAAGTAGGAACAAGGCTCGTGTGTTGCCGTGCTGTGTGTTCTGTCACGCTTTGTTCTGTCATGTACTGTTCGGTCATGTTCCGTTGTGCTATATGACGTGATGCGCTGTTCCGTTCAGTCCTGTCATGCTCGTCGAAGGCGCGTGTGGCGGGAAGCTCGGGTGACATTCTGTGGACCTGGGGATCTGGCGGCCGTGGTATGCAGGGTAGGCCATCGGGACTTCTGTTCTTACAATCTACCGGACTCAACCTGACTGGTGGGGAACTCTGTTCGCAACCGCCATGGCGCATAGTATAGTAAACGTTTCGAACGAGTGCCCGCATACCTTACTTTGTGTATACGCGTGCGGCTTCCCATCGGGGTTCGAGGTTGCTGGGCCTTCTCTGACCCGTGTGCGGGTCTCTCCTCGCCGCGGCACGCGTTCGCCCCGGATGTTCTGCGCCATCGTCCACCACAATTGCCGCGCCCTTCTCTTGGAGGCCGAAGAAGATGATACTAAGCATGGAGGTTCGGCGGGGACCTCTGGAACCGGCGTTGGACGCCCCTCCCCGCACCTCTAGCCGCGTGTTCGGCGTCGCCCCCCTCGAGCTCCGCACGCCGTGGAAGGAGTGTGGGGAGGCGGTCCAGCGCCGACACAAGAATCCTGACGGCTCCCAGCCAGCTCCGTAGCGCAACTAGCACGTGGTGCGGCTGGTGCCTGGCTGGTGGGCGCGCCTGGGCGCCTCGTCGGCGCCTCGAGCCCGGTGCCCGCGAAGGGGCGCCGCGTGGGCGCCTCGTGCGCCTGGCGTGTGCCGAGGTTTCGCCTGCTGGCCGCCCCTGGGCGCCTCGTGGTGGGCGCCTCGTGCGCTGTGTGTGTGTGTCTTTGTGTGTGTGTGTCTTTGTGTGTGTGTGCGTGCGCCGGCCCCTTCCCCCTCCTCCTCCTTCTCCTCCTCCTCCTCCTCTTTTTCCTCCTCCTCCTCTTTTTCCTCCTCCTCCTCCTTCTCCTCCTCCTCCTCCTCCTCCTCCTCCTCCTCCTCCTCCTCCTCCTCCTCCTCCTCCTCCTCCTCCTCCTCCTCCTCCCCCTCCTGCATGTTGGCACGATGCGCTCCAGCGGCACCCCCATTTGGGCCTTGCCGCTGGCGCAGGCGAGCCCTGCCGCGCCGCCGGCGCAAAAAAAGGGTGTGGGAGCCGATGCTTCGCGCGGTGCCTGCCCGTGGCACTCGCCTCGTGGCCGCGCCGCGTGCGCCGTGTGCGTGTTTTTGTGCGCGCGCCGATGGTTCGCCGGGCGCCCACCCACGGGCGCTTCGTGGTCGCCTCGTGCGCTTCAGGAGGGGGAAAACAGACAGGCACAATTCATCGTCGATCCCCAGGAAAATATGCGAAAACATGGGAAGTGGTTGGGGAGACAAAAACCCAGAACATAGGGGGAAATATGGGGGATTTGTTTTACTTGTGTGTACTTATTATTTGTGTGTTCTGGGGCCCCGTTAGCGTTGGGTGGGCGTGTCGAGGTTTCGCCTGGTGACCGCCCGTTGGGACCTCGTGGGTGCATCGCGCGCTGGTTGCGTGTGCCGAGGTCTCGCCTGGGCACACCTTGGGCACAGATGACCCACTTGTAAGCCTGCTCGCCCTGAGCACGTATGACCCACTTGTAAGCCTGATCAGGCCAGATATCGCCCACCTTGAGAAGCCTTGGCGTCCCCCGACAACCCCTCCATCCTCTTAGCAAGCCCCGTGCCGATCCATGCAGGGCTCCAGTCGTGATGTTGCGGAAGGCTGTAGTTTTTTGTTCGCCTCGCCCGGTCTCGGGGCTCCCCCCCGTCCCGCGCGACGGGCGCGCGGCGCGCAGCTGGACGCCCCTGGGCTGCACGCCGCCGCTCAGCCGGTGCGCCGCTCCGGGGGAGGCGGGGGGGGGATCGGCCGTGGAGGCCGGAGGAGGGGCGGCGGTCGTGCAGGCGGTGGGGTGTGCGAGAGCGGGTGCTGTGTGTGGGGGGGGGGGAGGTGGGCGGGAGGGGGGAGGAGGGGCGAGCAGGGGCAAGGTCAGGGGGGGGGATAGGCTTGATCAGTGGGGCCGCGTCGGCCCCTGGATCTCGGAGGCGCCTCGGGCCGCCTTTGTGGGGCCACGTGCGGCCGCCGTGGGGCCGTCTCGGCGTGGCCTCGGAAGCGCGGACCCGTGGTTCCTGACGAGGGGCCGTGGCCTCGGATGCGGGCAATGTCTTTCTCCACATCCAGTGCGTCGTGGGGTTTCGGACTCCCTTCCCAAGAAACACGAGGCGCACCGGATATGGATTATACTCTGCCTCCAAAAGGCTCAAGTTTTATCCGTATCCAGTGCGCCTCGGCCTTGCGGCGTCCCTTCCAAGAAAGTCCAAGACGCACTGAATATGGATATAAATATTGCCCGAATCGGAAGCACGGTGGGGCATGCGGGAGTCTGGTGGCAGAGGAGGCGGCTCTTCTTGGAGTGCAAAGCCCTGATGAGCAGCACTAGGCACTTCAGCACACCCACGCCGTGCACGCATGGTGGCGGGTGAGGAGTGTGAATTTGCACAGTGAGAGGGAGATTTGTTTTGCCTCTGGCGCGTAGCAGTGGTTACCCCCCCCGGTGATGTCACGATCGTTCGTAGGGAAGGGGGGCTTGGTCCCCTCCCACATGCATGCTTATGCTCGCGCGCGTATTATTGCGATCGCAGCGCACCCTGGTCCCGACGTGCCCCACCCCGCCAAAACGTTACAATTACCTGGCCCTCCCCCTCCCAATATAAAACTAAATCAGGAGGGGGAAGGGAAAGAGGGATGAGGAAGAGGAGCAGAAAGAGAAGCATAGGGTGTAGGGGTTGGGAGGGGACAGGAGCGATGACGTGGAAAAGACGGAGTGGGACTGCGAAGGGAAGGGGAGCTGCAGGATGACGGGGGGAGGACGAGGGGGAGCAGGAGGCGGCCCACCACCACTGCTCTTAGTTTGCATCGCAAGATGCATTGGTTGCACCAGTTTACCTTTCCCTATTCCCTGCGACGCCCCATTGTAGTCCTGGAGTCCAGCACATGTGATGGCGGCACGCCTCAATCTAAGGGCTCTCTTGGGATCAGCTTTGTCGTGGGCATCTACGGGGCACACTGCATGCGCTATTGGCCTCACGCATTTGCCATCCAGGCCACCGCAGCAAGTGAGAAGGGTCCTGTACTGTTGGCCCGTGTCGTGTCGACGCGGCGGCAACCCCGCCGCGGGTGTTCAAGTTCGAACGCCGCTGGTGGCCCAGAATCGTTCAATATGCAATATGGAAAGATTTAGGCAATCGAGCAAACCGCCGATCGTCCAAGTTTGAACAGTTGTCGGAAGCCCACGCCGAAGTCGTCACGACACGAACCAGTCGTAGCTTCAGCCCGACGCGCAGCAGGACGCAAAGCACGGGTGCTGTCTTGACGCGTCGTGATCTTCTCCTGCCACGCCCCTGACGTGCAGTGCGCGCACGATCCGCGCGGGCCGAAGTCAGCGGACGGGCAAGAAGCGTGGAGGGAATCGTTGTGCACAAGAGACGCCGGGGGCCGTATACCGTTCCCCTGGGGTGCTTCTCCAGCCCCACAGCGTGCTACAAGGGTGCTCGGCTTTTCATCCCGGCTCTTCCACGTTACCCTCTGGCCGAGGCCTCTGGTGGTGCCGAAATCGGGCCGGACGAAAGGGGGGGATAGGGAAAGGGGGGGGTACGAAATCTGTTGCATGCAGCTGGTTTGGGCCCCACCGAGGGGCCCGATCCAGCTACGCGAGCTGATTCTCAAACTCCCCCCTCACTATCCCCCCCTTTGGCCTGGCCCGACGAAAGCCAGAAAACTACCAAACATCGGGCTGGTGGAGGGCCCTCGAGGTGCCCTTTCAGGGCCCCTATTTGGGAGCCAGCAGGCGCGCGGAAGGGGCCCTAAAGGGCCCCTTTGGGGGCCCTTGTCTTCGCCCCCCACTGGGGCCCTTTTCTGCACCCCGTCTTCTTCACCCGCCAGAGAGCATTTGTCTGTCAGTTTTTGTAATGTGACCACATGATTAAAAAAATGCGACCCCCCCTCTCCGCCCCCCCCTCCCCCAGAAACAAGGAACGCCCCGATTAGGAATTTCGCCCGGCAACTTGTTCTTTAATCGTGTCCTTCCGCTACCCTCGCCCCGCCTCTACCCGTTTTTGTTTTTATTTTGTTGTTGTTTCTTTTTCCGTTTCCGTTTTTTTTATTATTATGTTTAAATGTGTTTCCCATTTCTGGTTTCCTTTTTTGTCGGAAACACCGCACACCCAGGACAAAAAAACGGGGATAGGGAAGGGAGGAGAGGGGGCGGATAGGGAACGGGAAGGGTCCGCGAATGGGGGCTCCCACGTGCGGATGATCACGACCCCGCCTCCCCTCAGCCGCGGCCGCGGCTGGGGGGGGGAGGGGTCGTGAACGTTCGTACCAACCCCCTGTTCGCGGGCGAATGGGGGCTCCCACGGGCGGGGGCGAAGGTCACGACCCCCCTCCCCTCCAGTCCTGAGGGCGGGACGGGGGCGAGGGTCGTGACTGCCCGTCCCAACCCCCTGTTCGCGCAGACCCCGTGGTCCGCGTGAGGGGTGCGTTTCTTGGACCGAGGAGGCGCGTGCGGTCGCGGGACCGGCGGGCTGCCTGACGCCGCCTGTCAGGGGGAGAGGGAAGGCGGGGAGGAGAGGGGAGGAGGGGGGAGAGGGAAGGCGGGGAGGAGAGGGGAGAGGGGCGGCGAGGGGAACCACCTCCTGCCTCCCCCTCCCCCGCTCTCTTCCCCTCTCCCCCTCCTCCCCCCCGCCGGCACCGCCTCCCGCTTCGCCGCCGCCCTGGGCTCAAAGCGTCCGGCGTCGCGGCGCCTAATCGTGTCCTACGCGCACCCCCCGGATTTTTTTATATAATAGACATCGTGTCGCTTCCTTTTTTTGTGTGAAAATCGTTTGGTCACATTAAGAAGCTCGACCTTCAATTCAATATTCGATCGGTCGACGAGGACAGAGTCGGTACGACGTGGCGTGTTTGTGGGTTTTTGTTCAAGCACTTGGGCCTACTTGTCGGCTGGTTGTGCCAGCAACTGCTCAAGAGGCTCATGCAGTGTCGCCGATCTTTTGACGCTTCGGGGAACCCAACCAGCCCATTCGGGAAGAGATTTCAGCCGCGTTGCATAGTCCGAAGGAGTGCGGGAGCACGCAGTTGAGCAGAGCGGGGAGGCTGTCCGCCAAACCCAAGCTCGATGAGCCTGCTCAGACCCAGGAGCCAACCACCATTGCGTCCGTTGCTCGTGCGCTGTCTGAGGCTCGAGGGGTTACCTTGGGAACCCGCCCAACGGGGCCGGTCTGTCCAGGTTCGCCTTCGGGCAGCCGCCTGCGCCACGTGCCATCCTGGCCTCCCGGCTCTCCGCTGGACCGCCTCGGCGTAAACCGTCCTTGACTTGCTCGTGCCTTGCCTTGGCGGCGGCGGCGCGGCAGCCCTGCCATGCCTCCTGGCGGCGTCCCCGCCCAGAGGGACCAACCCCGCAGTGTCCCGTATCAACATTATCTTCCTGCGTGCAGGAGAAGGGCACAGTGCCACGAGAAGTGCTTGATCCGATTTTTCCTTGGCGTGTCGTGTGGTTGGCACTCCCAAGGGCGAATTGGACATACGCCCCATTTCGGTTGGATCTATTCTGGTCAGGTGCTGGATGAGTTCGCTGGCATCGGCGATACCACAACCGTGTGCAACCAGTGAGCAGGAAAGCGAGGTGTGAGTGCAGTGCGCGCTATTTCCAAATGGCTGGCGGAAGTCACCCAATCATATGCTGGTGCAGAGTTGGATGCTTTACGAGATTATCATTACGCTGATCAGGAGATCGGCGAAGAGGCTCTCCTGTCCAGCGAGACGCCCGACGCGGTGGTGTACACGGCGGTGTCGACTTGGGCAGGACCTCGTTTTTCTAAGTGTTGGTGGACACTACGCGCCACCCATCTATCCTGAACGCGGTCTCCCACAAGGTGACTCTGTGGCGCAGGCTGGCATGGTAGCAGGTCTAACGCCTTGGCAGCCTAACGATGTGCTGGCCTACGTGGGCGACAGATCTCTTACGACTGCGAACGCCGACTTGGTTCAGGACGGCCTCAACCTGACGGTGGCCTTCGATAGTGACTGCGCCTTCGTGGAGAAGACTTCAAAGCGTCAGTTGTGGAATGCAGCGGGCGATCCCCCAGCCCGAATCAGCGCCATCTACAAGGACAAGGGCTCGATCGACAGGTGCGACACCTACCGGCCGATCAGCTTATTATGTGTAGCTTACAAGGTCTTGGCATCCCCACTTTTGCAACGGCTCCAACGAGCAGGTGCGGAGGACCGTCTTGCATCAACGCAGTGTGGATTCAGACGTGGGCGAGGCACATCAGATGGGACTCGCATGTTTCGAAGGGCACTCGAGGCGGCCAGGGCGGCCAAAGATGGGAATATTGCGTTCGTCGCACCGGACTGGAAGAAAGTGTTCGACTCGATCAACATGGACGCGATGATTGCCGCCTCTCGGAGGTACGGAGTTCCTCCAAAAATGCTTGTGCTCATCGCCAACGTGTGCGACAATCGCCATTTCTTCGTATCTGACGGTCCCTGGGCGTCCAGACAATGACGACAACGATCAGGAAAAGCTCAAGGTTGCCCTCTCTCCCCATTCCTTTTTGTGATGGTCATGACTATATTGATGAGGCATGCGACGGACAAGCTGGGGCAGGAAGCGAGAGCACATATGGAAATCTGCAATTTGTTTATATTGTACGCCGACGACACCCTATACGTAGGTAGATCTTAACAGTACTTACAGGAAACGTTGGATGCTGTAGCGTGGTCTGAGGCACGAGCCGGGATGGAGCTACATTGTGACAACTTCCAGTTAATCCAGTTCGGATGCGAAGTTCACTTGCGAACTCCCGGAGGCCTCCTGATCCTTGCCCAAGACCACTTGTCATACTTAGGAACCACCTTGTACACCTCAGCTTGCGTTTCGAAAGAGTTGAACAAGCGGCTAGGGGCTGCATGGGCCGAGTTCGTCAAACATGAACGGGCCTGGAACACACGCAGCCGTCGGCAAGAGCAGAACAATCGAAACGTTGCAAGCTTCGATTACAAGCAAAGTTTTGTATTCACTTTCCACTGTTTGGCTGAACCAATCCGAAAGAACGAGGCTGGATGGATTCCAAGCCAAGTGCCCCGGACGAGTTTTACACATTCCGCCTCCTTTTCCTGTCACGCGTGTCAAATAAGGTCGTCCTGCAGGAGGCCCGGCAGGCCCCCTGCAGCACCCAGCTTCTGCGACAACAGCTCGCGCTGTTTGGACAAGTTGGTAGGGCGTCGAACCACGATTTTCTTAGACAACCCACGTTCCAGCCTGACGCTGTTCTACCAGCCACGGCCGCGCCCAAACGCAAGCGTGGTCGACCGAAGAGAGAATGGGCAACGGAGCTGCGCAGAATGATCTCGTCCAGTTTCAATTCGCACGATCTGCTCCTGCAGTGAATACATGACCCTGTGCAATGGGATTCTTTTGTGAAGCGCCACACAAAACAGTGCGTCGAGCCAGATTGGCATCTGTGACTTGTTGCTTTGTTCCCCGCTCCCCCCCGTTCCCCTCCTCTTCTTCCCCCCCCCCCCCCCCCGCCGGGCACGTTGTAAATTATGCGACCGCCGATGCGCCGCCACTCCCGCTAAGCGGCGATAGCTGGCTGGAATTGTCTTGTTTCGCCCACGCGTTCCGGCGTATGGCATGAGTGAGTGAGTGATCCCCCAGCAGTGGTCGAGCACCTTGGCATCGTGGCCCGACCGATGGACGCAGAGTACCCCATCCTCCCCAGGCATGGATGGGCTAAGATTTGCTCAAGCAGTCGAGATGTTAGGCTCCAGTCCTGGCGATTCTGACGTGCGTGAAAGATAGGCGATCACCTATCCAGGACCGTTGTGGTTTCGGGCTTGACCGTTAGTGGCACCCTTCCATCAAGATCTTCCCCGTTTCCTACACAAGGCGATTGTTTTTTTTTTTGTTTTTTTTGACGTGGTGGTGCCAAGGACGGCGGTGAGCGCACAGAGTACATGTTTCCCCCCAGCCGGGGGCAGCGCAGTATGCAATTCATATTGCAGTCCACAGGGAACTTGAGTGGTCACGCTTCGCTGAGACAGCGATGGTGGTTCGTGTGGCTGTGTTTTGATTTCGGCTTGTGAGGTTGTCACCGAAAGTGGCCTCCCAAAGTGGGTGGACTACTTTCGCCCAGGCTGCTGCCTTTCAAGCAGGAGCCATTATGATGAGGGCGGCTTGCGAGCTGGCTGTGGACAACATGAAGCTCAATTCCAACCGACGTCTGCATACTATGGGCTAGCCCCCCTGTTTTGGGGGTAAGGAGGGGGCGCGGACCTGAGCACACCCAGTATGTATCAACGATGTCGTCTGCACTCTCCCATCCATGATCCCCTCCTCTCTAGTCCTTGCAAGCGTCCTTTCTCATTGCGCGATGCCGTTCTACACCAGTCGAGCTACTCGACGTGCGTCGAGGTTGTGTTTTTAATTTGCAAAGACGTGCGCAGTGACGGCTCCTCTTCGAAAGCGAGCTGGCGCGTAAACGTTAAGCTGGTTCACATGTTGCAGTTTGGGTTCCGAGGCCAGACGAAACCGTAAGCGCAATCAGCATCACGAAATGCATATGCCGTCCATCCGTGCAAAGATGGCGCAATGCTGCTTTCGTGGTGATGAGTTCGAAGGCGTATCACGCGATTCCCATTTTCACAACTGGTTGGAAGCTTGCATATGAGTGTACTGGGCGCTAACGCGAGAGCCAATTTGTGAACACACGCCGTCCGTCATCTGCCAACATGCCGGAAGCTATGCGGATGTGCGCGGCGCGGCTGGCGTTCCATCCGTCCAGCGGTTGGACAATCTATGGTGCGGCTCATTCGATTGCAAGGGAATGTCGGTCGAAACGATTGACCCAGCATTCGGACACGCGTGTCGGCGTGACAGGGAGGAGCTGTGCAGAAGGCGGGCCCCCTGACGTCGCCTCCAGCGCCGCCCCTGGCACGCTCCGCGCGCTAGGGAGGGGGTCCAACGCAGATCCACGAAGACCGCGCGGAACGCCACATGTTTATGTTTATGTCGATGTCCATCCCAACGAAGGGACGATGGGGAGGGCGGGAGTTGGGAGTGGGAGTAGCGGAGGGAGACGAGGAGACATATCACTTCTTCAAGGCGCTGCAAATAGCGGAAATAGCGGACATATCGCTTGTTGAGATGCAGGAGCGTTTTTTTGCAGGTTCCAGGGCGGTAATCCGTTTTTCTTTCATCCTTTCCTCGCCTCAAATCGGACATGTCCCTTCACAGGATGACTATTCAAAAATCGTAGAAATAGTATGAGGACGATTTGTTTGAGTTCTTTTGGCTATACATCCATATATATATATATATAGATCGAGAAATACATGTTTGTTTTCATTCCGAATTCCGCCTGTATGAGGACATGCCCGAATTACTCCTCGTCCTCATCTCCCTCCCTTCGGGGATTGCGGGGGGACTGATTGCGGGGATTGGACTGAGGTGGGTGGGTGGGGAGGCAGAGGATGTATGCAGAGGAGGAGGAGGCAGGAGTGGGGAGTGCAGAGACAGGAAACATGGGGTGCGCGAAGAACTGAGGACAGAGGCAGGTGGACGGGGAAGAGCCCTAACAAATATAGTGGGGGAGTAACGGAAGTACTTGGCATCACTCGGACGTGTGCAGGTTGTTCGTCGAGACCGGCGCCAACTAAATCTGGACCGTCTGGAAGCATCGTGGAAGAAAAGAAGGGAGCGCGCCGGAGTCGTGCACGTTCCGCGAGGGTGCCGTCCCGTGCCCATGAGGGCATGGCGCGGAGGCCGTGGCTTCGAATCTGTGGTACGTGAGCACGCTCCATGTGAAAACCACCACTCACGGCTCCTTGCCGCTGGTAACCATCGTGGGTCGCTTGTGTTATCAAGCTCCAGCCCTCGGGGCATGGCCGCTGCCCGGATGTGGTCCCGCTCGGCGTCGGCGTCGCAGCACTGCCCGCCCAAGATGTGCAACTGTTTCCGGACGTCGTCGTCCCATGTTTTTGGTGTGCCTCCATGTTGTTGGTGCCTTCGCTGCCGAGTATGGAGATTAGGGTTCCAGTTCAGCACTCTTTGCGTTCAGCGCGTGGGCGCGTTGTGAGCCACAGTATTCCCCTCGTCATTGCTCACCTTGTCCAGCGCGTCTGGTTGCTGGATGGGTGGGTTGCTTCAGGCGAGGGGTTCGTTGCAGTCGTTTGGGGCGGTGCTGCGGGTGTCCTGGTTGTTGCTGTGGTTCGTCCCTGCACTGTGGTGTGGCGTCGGTGTGGGACGTCTCGACGAAGGAGTGCGCGCGTGACCAAGCAGTGCACGGGGTCTAGGCGTCGGAGCGATCGCAAGAGCAGGAGGGTGATGGGGGAGCCAGGGCAGAAACGGGGCGTAGAGGCTGCCGAGCATGGGGGGGGGGCGCGAGGCTGCGGGGAGTTCTGTGCGGGGCCTCCCCCGCTCCAACGCAGCCTGGTGCTCCTCACAGCCCCTGGAATTCCCTGACGCCCTCCCCGCCTGGAGCCCTCGTCCTCCTCCCCTTCCCGCCCCGCTCTCTCCACTTCCCCCGTCCGCTTCCTCCTCCACCCTCCCCCCTCCTCCTCCTCCTCCTCCTCCTCCTCCTCCTCCTCCACCTCGTTCTCCTCCTCCTCCTCCTCCTCCTCCTCCTCCTCCTCCTCCTCCTCCTCCGTCTCTTCTTCCCAAATCCCTCCTTGCCGCCTCCTGTGTAGACAACCTGGGGCCACTTGGACCCCCAAACCTCCTCGAGACCGCTCCTCCCTTCCTGCCGGCCCGCCCTTCTCCTCTCCTTCCTCCTGCAGCGAGGGCCTTGAGGGTGAATTTTGGAGAGACTCTGAGTTTCCTGGACGCCTGCAGATGGCTCCCTGGAGACGCCCACACGTTCAGCAAAGACAGCAAGCGCCAGCAAGCCTCAATGCACTCCGGATGTGGAGGTGGAGGGGGAGTTGGAGGCAGGGGCTGCGGCTCAGTGGCCACAGTTCCCATCGGATCCACCGCACGCGAAGAACATGTCGGCCCTCATCCGCAGTCTCTCATGGGATTGCTCTTATCACTGACGGCACCAGGGGGAGGCGGGAGAAGAGGTGGGGGCAGTAGGAGCAGATTGGGAAGAGGTGTTTTATGTGGGAAGTGAGTGAGGGAGGGGGGGAAGATGGGGAGCAGTTGGAGGAGGGACGTGAGGAGTTAGGGGAGGAATGATCCTCGAACCTTTCAGTTCGAGGAGGATGAATCGGATTCGGAGGGGGAGGAATGTGAGGAAGATGTAGGAATGTGATCAGAGGAGGACGATCAGAGGATGTTGAAGCATGATCAGAGGAGCACCACAGGGGGGATGGAGCGGGGATGGAGCAACAGGACTTTGATGGCAGCGGAGGGCGAGGACGCCCCAGGAGGCCCTGGGCGCCCGTTGCCCGCCTACGCAGGCGCGCGAGGCTGGTCTGGCGCCGGGCCAGGCGCGGGGAGCGCTCGCCCTTCGGCGCCGTCGCCGCCGCCGCCGTCGGCGTCGGCAGCGTCGGCGCTGTCGTGGTCAAGAGTGGCGTCGGCAGTGTCGTCGTTGTCGTCATCATGGTCCTCGCCGCCGCCGTCTTCGTCGTCGTCGTCGTGAACACCGGCGTCGTCAACAGCGTCGTCGCGTCGGCGGCCACCGCGCCGCCAGTGTTCGCGGGCATCGGACGTCTCGGAAACACTCAAGGCGAAGGCTGTTCCGCCAGTTTCGGCCTCGTGTGGTTCCTGTCCAGGCCCTCGGGGCCGTCAGAAAGCGACCCGGGGCGGGAAAGCCGGCCCAGGAGCGGGTCTGGACTCCCAGGGGCCCTTTATTTTGGACGCCCGAAATGAGCACGGAAAGAATGGGTACAGTGCCCAACAACATTGGTTGTCCCAAACCAACAGCGGCCATTGTTTTGCAGGCGGCCTTCTGTCTCCAATGGACGCAGGCCGCGGCGACGCCGACAGCGAGCCTTGTTCAGAACGAACAGGAACTGCTGTTGGGCATTGTACCTATTGTTTCCGTACCTACTTCGTTCGTGCCGATATATTGAAACAAATTCTTTACGCTTCGCGTATCCCCACCAGCCCATCTCACAACAGCAACTCTTGCGAAGCATGCCGACAGTCGTGTTTTTTTCAGGCGTGCTTCCGCCTGCCCCCTAATATCTCCCCTGTTCCTCCTTCCTCCCGCCTCCTTGTACATCCTCCTTGTGGTGGGAGCGGGAGAAGGACGAGGCGGAGGAGGAGGGAGAGAAAGCGCTCCTCGTGGTTTGAGTCGTTTGGGGTTTCTCGTCCTGGTGTGAGTCGTTCGGGCCCTTCTTCCTGGTGTGAGTCGTTCGGGCTCTTCGTGGTGTGAGTCGTTCGGGCTCTTCGTCCTGGTGTGAGTCGTTCGGGCTTCTCGTGGTGTGAGTTGTTCGGGCCCCTCGTCCTGGTGTGAGTCGTTCGGGCCCCTCCTCCTGCCCGTCCAGAAACGACGCCCAGGCGAGTAGAGGGTCGTCCTGATGGGCTTTTCGGCGTCTTGGGTGCCTCGGGGGGGCCTCTTTGGGCCGTTTGGGATCCTCTTGGGGGCCTCCTGGGGGCCTCTTGGGGCCATCTTGGGGCCTCTTGGTGCCTCCTGGGCGCTTCTTGGGGCCATCTTAGAGGAAATCGATCAAAGAAGAGGGGAGCTTTAATTAGCGCTGCCCCCTCAGAAGCAGTTGTTTGCTCCTTCTGCCATGATAGCGGTGCAAAAAACGGGGCCGTCTGCGCCGACATTGGCGCGTGAGTTGCCCGAGTAAGGTCGTGCGTATGCGTCCTCGTCTCCAGTGCAGCGTACCGTGCCAGTGGCCCGCGTAAGACAAGGCGTAAGAGGGTCGCTGTGCCATCTCGCGTGAGACCCGATTCTTTTCGTCGTCCATGTGGGGATTTTCTTGAGTTCTGGTGTCCGTCGGACGGGGCCAGGACGAGGTTAAAAATTCGTTCCAGAGCGTTCTGGGACGCTCTCGGAGCGTTCCGGAACGCTCTGAGGACGCCGCGGCTCCCCAGACAAATTGCAGATCCGTTGGGTCTCAGCAGGGGGCCACATGCGAACCCTACCCCTAGCCCCCACGATTTCTGAGGGGGAGGGTGGGGTTCACTTCGTTCAGAAATCGTGGGGGGCAGGGGTAGGTTTCGCATGTGGCCCCCTACTCAGAGATTCCCGATTTATGTTCACCATGAGTCATGTTCGTCGTTTTGGCTTCGTCTCGCGCGTGGCAGCAGTTGCAGGCCCGCTCCGGCACGGGCGGGAGGGCGCGGCACAGCCGCCGGGAGCAGCGCCTCCCCTCCGCGGCCGCGTGCCCGCGGCTGCCACGCGAGAGGCCGCGCGTGCAGCAGCGTTCCTCCCCGCGCCGAGCCTGGGAGAACAGGCGTGCAGTCGGACCGAGGTATCGGATCGAGGTCGGCTCGGGGAGGGTGCCCCTAGGGGAACAAAAAGTGGCACAAACATATTAGGGGCCAGACCTTGGTGTATACCTAGGGGAACAAAAAGTGACACAAACATCAAAAGTCGGATGTCCGCGCGGATTTCTCGGATCGGCGCTGGGCCCCCCCCCCGCGGCGCCTCCGGCGCCGCCCCTGGCGCGCTCCGCGCTCCAGGGAGGGGGGTCCCAGCGCCGATCCGAGAAGTCCGCGCGGACCTCCGAGTTTTGTTTATGTTAATGCCACCTCTTGTTCCCCTAACCCCAGAGTTCTTCGCGCTTGCTGTACAGTCGGGGCCCTGAAGAAGGAACCCTTTTCGATGGGGAGGGGCTTGGTGTTCCTGGATTGTGTCGCAGCTTGCCTCAGGTTTTCCTCGTGTTTTCGATCGGACATGGAAGTTTAACTTCTGGAAACAAAAAGGGGCCTCGTTCCTCATGTTGGGTTCCTTATGTCAAGGCCCCGACTGTATGTGCTCGTGCTTGCCCGGGGGGGAGGGTCACCTTGAGGATGCGCTGCTTTTGCTGTGGCCGACGGAGGGCCTCCTGCTCTGGAGGGGTGCTCCTCTCTGGCCCGGGCCCGGCTGCCATCGGGGGCCACGTTGGGGGGGGGGGCAGGCTGAGAGGGGGCACTGCGCCGAGCCCTTGATCTCGGGGGCGGCAAAGAGGGGGGTGATGACTAGGGGGGGGGTGGATATCATGGCGTGGGCCATGATATCTCCCCAGATTCCATGGCGCCTCTTCTTACTTCATTACGTCCCCAGCCCCCCCCCTGGGCCGCGCACATGCCGCTGGTCATGATGTGCACCCCCCGCTCTTGGACACCCCCCTCTTGGCCGCTCCCGATGATCGCCCACTCGTCGAGCCCTTGCGCGGAGCCCAGGAAGATTCGAAGCAGGCGGGTGGCCCAGCACCTGGCCAGCAGGCAGGGCAGGCAGGCTCGAGGTGTTGGGTTCGGACCGGTTCTTTCTGCCCTCTCGGCCGCCGGGGGGGTGCTCTCGGGATCGCCAGGGACGAATCCGAAGCGACCTTGGGCGGGGGTGGACGGAAACCCCCGCCCTGACACGTTGATTCGTGAATCGTCCGTTGTCGGTTCGCGACAGGGCGCCGCGGCCGTCATTTTTCCAGGCTTGCGCCCGACAGGTTTGGGCCCGAGGCCGTTTTCACGAAACCACGATTTACCAAAGGGGGCTCTGTCCATCCCCGACTTGGGAGGGGTCCCGGGACAGAGTGTGAGTGGATTTGGCCTCATCCCCTCTCCTGACCGAATCTCTGGGTCCCATCCAGTTCAGATCCCCTGGTCGCCTCCAAAGGAAAACGGCCACGATTAGGGGCAACGTTCGGGGTGGAATGGCTGATGTTCGCCCCCCTCTGAGCCAGTCATGAGATCCGAAACTTCGACCCTGGATTCACGATCATCGGAGGAGGGCCAATGGAGACAATCGTGACTCTCTCGCCAAACGCAGATCGGGGTCCGTCCTGATCCGCTTGCCCAGGCGGATCCGGCAGTGGCGACGAGGAGCTCGCAGGAGGCCCGGAACGGGCGAACAAGGCAAGGGAAGGCCCCCTTGCCTCGAGCGGCCCTCGACCCGTCAGGAGCCATTTCAACGCTGTTGATTCGAATCGATTCGATTTCTAGGAGGTTCATTCCGGCTCGATTCGCTTCACCTCGCAGTGCCAGCTTCGGTGTGGGCTTCTTGTTGCCCGGGTCTCGGGTCGGGCCGCCGGGCGTCGATGCCGATGCCTTCGACCCGCCCGCCGCCTTCTGCCGAGTCGGCGCAGTTCGTTCGATAGCCAATTCGGCGTTCCGACGTCATCTTGGGCCACCCTGCTGCGTCATCCCCGAGCGGCGGTCGATCCGCATGGCCGCACCTCCTCCTCCTCCTCCTCCTCCTCCTCGTCCTCCTCCTCCTTCTCGTCCTCCTCCTCCTCGTCCTCCTCCTCCTCCTCCTCCTCCTCCTCTTCCCGCCTCCTCCTCCCGCTTCCTCCTCCTCCGCCTCTTCCTCCCCCTCCTCCTCTTGGAGGTTGGCCAGACATACGACTGCGCTTATTGCGTTCTCCTCCTCCTCCTCCTCTCTCCTCCTCCCCCTCCTCCTCCTCCTCTTCCTCCTCCTCCTCCTCCTCCCAGGCATACAGCCAGCCGGCGCACGACGCCTACGGCGCCCCGCACGGTGCCTGCCCGCCGCCGCAGCAGGAGCCCCCACCGGCTCCGCGCGCCCCCCGCCCGCGCCGGCGCTCTGCGCGTGCTCCGGGTGCCCCGGCTGCAGGTGCAGGCGCAGGCAGGAGGAGGAGGAGGAGGAGGAGGAGGAGGAGGAGGAGGAGGAGGAGAGGAGGGAGGAGGAGGAGGAGGAGGAGGAGGAGGAGGAGGAGGAGGAGGAGGAGGAGGAGGAGGAGGAGGAGGAGGAGGAGGAGGAGGAGGAGGAGGAGGAGGAGGAGGAGGAGGAGGAGGAGGAGGAGGAGGAGGAGGAGGAGGGAGGAGGAGGAGGAGGAGGAGGAGGAGGAGGAGGAGGAGGAGGAGGAGGAGGAGAGGAGGAGGAGGAGGAGGAGGAGGAGGAGAAGGAGGAGGAGGAGGAGGAGGAGGAGGAGGAGGAGGAGGAGGAGGAGGAGGAGGAGGAGGAGGAGGAGGAGGAGGAGGAGGAGGAGGAGGAGGAGGAGGAGGAGGAGGAGGAGGAGGAGGAGGAGGAGGAGGAGGAGGAGGAGGAGGAGGAGGAGGAGGAGGAGGAGGAGGAGGAGGAGGAGGAGGAGGGGAGGAGGAGGAGGAGGAGGAGGAGGAGGAGGACAGACTTCTGGGTCCTGGATCCTGCGTGTTCCGGATGCCCCGGCTGCAAGTGCAGGCGCAAGGATGTTCAGAGGCGGCAGAGAGGGGGGTGATTCTTCGGGTTAAGTCGGGCGTGTCCCCCTACAGGGGGATTTTCGACGAACAATAGAAAAATACACCAAAAATATCCCAAAAGGGTCAAAACATATTCAAAAAATAGTCCCCATATTATTTTTGGACTATGTTTTATTGTTTTTGGTGTATTTTTTTCATTTTTCGTCGAAAATCCCCCTGTAGGGGGACAGGCCCGACTTAATCTTAGGGGGGGGTGGATATCATGGAGTGGGCCATGATGTTCCGCAGATTTCATGGCACATCTTCTCGTTCCATTACGTTCCTGGCCCCCCCTGGGGCCGCGCACATGCTGCCAGCCATGATTTGCACCCCCCCCCTCTTTGGACGCCCCCCGCTCGGCCGCCCCCGAGATTCGGGCACTGCTCGAAGCGCCCCCTGGACAAGGTGCCCCCCAGGACTCCCCAGGAGGCCCCCGCGGCCTCCAGAGCACTCCCCACGAGGCCCATTGCAGACAGCCCCAGGGGCTCAAACATGGAGCGACAAGCTTGGGGCCCTTCGGGCCGCGAGGAGGCCCCCACGGCCTCCAGAGCACCCCTCACGAGGCCCCTGAGAGCCCCAGGGGCTCAACACAGGAAGCGAGAAGCCTGGGGCACTTCGGGCCACGAGGAGGCCCCCACGGCCTCCAGAGCACCCCTCACGAGGCCCAGAGAGCCCCAGGGGCTCAGACATGGAGCGAAAAGCCTGGGGCACTTCGGGCCAGGGGGCACCTTCAGCACCCGCCGAACGTTGGGGGGGGGCGCCTCGACCCCGAGTCGCCCACTGATCGCCAATCGGGGTGTGATAACCCTCCTCCTCCTCCTCCTCCTCCTCCTCCTCCTCCCCCTCCTCCTCCTCCTCCTCCTTCTCCTCCTCCTCCTCCTCCTTCTCCTCCTCGCCCAGGATCGTTCGGATTCGCTATCGGGGGCCGATCCCCAATCTATTGGAAGACGTCTCGCTGACTCCATCCAGGTCGACGTTCCCCTCCCCGCTGCCAGCCCGCCATCCCCTAGCGCTGCCCCTCATGAGGTCCTGGCGCTTTGATGTTTTACTCATGTGTTTTTTCGATGTTGTATGTTGTAAGTTTTTTGTTTTTTGTTTTTTTTCATGTTTTACTGAACAGGGCGGGTCCGCTTTATTCCGGGCCCTCCGGCATACTCGGGAGCGTCCACGAGGGGGGTGATTACTAGTACATGGCTGAGGCCATGATATTTCCTCGGCTTCATGGCCCGCTCTTCTTGCAATGCGTCCCCTGGCCCCCCCCCCTCGTCGGCGCACATGCTGCAGGCCACGAGCTGTGAACCTCCCTCTCGGAGGCCCCCGATTTCGACGTCCTCGAGATTATGTGGTCCTGGCGCTTTCGATTTTCCCGCTCGGGCGATTTGCCTTAGTTTGTGCCCTCCTGGCATGCGCCCAGGAGTCTCCAGGACGGCCGAACGACGTTCGACACAGGGCTGGCTGGATTTCAGGCATCAGTTCTGGATGCACAATGGTGCTTGATAACATTCCTCGTGAATATGGTGCAGTAGGGATCACGTTTTCAACTATGACCAGATGATGTTCTATCAAAGACGGCCGCGACAGAGCGAGCTAGATTTCGGGCGACTTTCCACTCGGAAGCACTTTTTGTGGTGGGCATCGGGCGGGACCCTCCTCGATCGATGCTGCTCTGGAGGAATGCCGCAGGAAGCTGGAGTCCAGGGCTCTGGTCGTGAAGTCCTGCACTGTTGGATTCCTCCGCGACGGCAGATCTCGGCGGATGGCGAAGATCGAGGAGCCAGGATGAAAGACGATCGATGCTTTTTGAGCGTCTTCTCTGTAGTGCTTGCTTACAGTGAGCGGCTTGACTAAGGAACACCTACTTTTCAAAAGGGGCTCGGTCGTTCCTTAGATTTTACATGCATTACTTACAGTTCCTTATGCGTTATTTGTTATTTATCGTTCCTTATGCGTTATTCCTTGGGTGAAAAAAAGGGCTTTGTTCCGTATTTATCGTTCCTTTGGTCAGGCCGATGACTGTATCGTGGCCACGGCTGGTTTCCCATCGAAATCTCGGCCAGTGAGAATTCGCTTCGGGAGTCTGATGCACGTCCGCATGCGCCAGCGCCTCTCGCGGTGCGCTGCGGGGCGGCTCAGCTGGAAAGAGAGAGGTCCAGAGAGTCTGTCACGCATGGCCACTCGCAGACTTCGCCCAAGGACAACGGCTCCAGTCGACGCCCCCCCTCCTCTCCCCGTCCACCTCTCCTCCGGACCGCCTCTCCCTGCCGCTGGGCTTGTGCCCCCCTGACCTTCCAGAGAGCTATGTTTTAGCACTGGAGGCTTAACAACCTAACAAAACTGAGCGAAACAGCCTGAAACCAAGACGCAGGATAGCTCTGGGATTGGTTTTTAAGTCGCGTGCTATTTTTTAGCCCTCTTGGAAGGTCAGGGTCGCTGGGCTCCCCAACACGCAGAGCGCTGCGCGCGTGTTCCGGGCCCCCCGTCTGTCCATCCGGGGCTGGGCGGGCGCCTCCGCGGCCGCGGGTGCCCTCCCCCCCCCTTCCCGGTGGGGCCGTGGCGGGAGGCGCGTCCCTGGGCGAGGTTCGCGGAGGGGAGGAGGGCAGGCGTGGGCCGGCGGGCGGCCAAGAGGGGGTGATGACCAGGGGGGGGATATCCTGGCGGGGGCCACGATAGTTCCCCAGATTTCAGGGCGCCTCGGCTTCTGTCAGTGCCTCCCTGGCCTCCCCCCTGGGCCGCGCACATGCCGCCGGCCATGATTTGCGCGCCCCCCTCTTGGACGCCCCCCCCTTGGCCGCCCCCGAGTGGGGGGGAGAGGGAGCTCATGCGGTCCTGCCTTCGGCCAGGGGGAACGAAGGGCGGGATTGTGAGGAAAAGGCGGCAGGAGGATCAGGAAGGGGAGAGTCAGAAGGACCAGGAGGAGGAGGAGGAGGAAATGGAGGAGGAGGAGGAGGAGGAGGAGGAGGAGGAGGGGTAGCGAGCGAATGACTGCGGACTGCGGACAAGCACCCAGGCGTCGTTGGGACCAGGTGATAACCGGTGTGTCTCGCGAGACAAATGGGGCAATTGAAATGGGAGGAGGACGATGAGGATTTGTGGTGGGCTTGTGCGAGTTAGGACTCACGCGGATGGGAGCTATCATGCAAGACGCCTTCTCGCCGTGCAATTCTGCACTTGCAAGGGCCCTCCCACAAACGCGTCAGTCCAACTTTGGGCCGTCCGAGTTCGGCAGGCTTGCAGCCCGCCGTCTTGCCGAGGAGGGGGAGGAGGAGGAGGAGGCGTCTGTGTTCCACTCTGCCGCTGTCGTAAGAATTCTTCACGCTTCGCGCATCCCCAGCAGCCCATTCAGATAGACGCCATGCCCATGAGAGCTGACGGGAAAAGGGACGAAGAGACACATCTAGAGAAACAATGCGAGCAACCAGGGTGAACCGAGAGATCTCTTGGAGCCAGGGGGTGGCCTTGGAAGGCCTCTTCGTGCCATCCCTGGGACCCGCGTTGGGGCGAGGGAAAGAGGAGGAGGAGGAGGCGAATGAGGACGAGGAGGGCGAGGAGGACGAGGACGCGGATGAGGATGAGGAAGAGGAGGTCGAGGACTAGGATGAGGACGACGCGGCCGAGGATTCATGGAACCATCTAGAGGTATTCTTGCGGCTGTTTCTGCTGCTGATGCTATCTGGGAGTTTCGGTTCCCCTCTTGGAACCCTCTTGGGATCATCTTGGAGGCCATCGATTACAGGATGGGGGGGTCCGTAACTCAGCTACCCCCTCAGGAGCCCGCACACCGCTTCTTGGGGCTCTCTTGGAGCGCTCTTGGGCGCTATTGGGGCGGTCTTGGAGCCAGCTTGGGCTATCTGAGCCATCTTGGAGGTCATCTTGGGCTCTCTTACGCCGCTCGGGGGCCTCTTGGGGCCGTCTTGGGGCCCTCTTGGGACCCTCTTGGGACCCTCTCGGGGCCCAAGAGTGGCTTTCTTGGGCCTCTCCTGGGAGCCTCGGAGAGCCTCTTGGGGCCATCTTGTAGGCCATCGATCTCAAGGGGGGTGTCCTTGATCTAGGTCCCCCCCCAAGAGCCCTCCAAACCGTTTCTTGCGGCGCTCTTGGGCCCCTCTTGGGGCGATCTTGGGCGCTCTTGGGGCCGTCTTGGGGGCCTCGTGAGCCCCTCTTGGAGCTCTCTTGGGCCATCCTGGGGCGCATCTTGAGGCCTCAAAAGCGCATCCAAAGCGAAAAGGCGAGAAGGCAACCATCAGTGATTGTCCATCTGTTTTTGAAGGATTTTCGCTCCTCGGGGCTATCTTGAGCGATCTTGGAGGCCATCTTGGGCTCTCTGTGGCCCTCTTGGAGCCATCTCGTGCGCGCCACCTGCTCGCGAAACCTCCCGTCCAGGTCCAGGGGAGGGAGGGGGTAGGGGGAGGGGGAAACCCTTCCCCGAAGGGGAAGAGGGGGTTTTGGACGAGGAAAGAAAGGCATCGTTAGACCACCTGCGCCCAAAGGACTGGTGCTTTGTGGGCCCCGGAAACGGCAGGGCTGTTTTTTCACCGTTTCCAAAAAAAATGTCCCTTGAAAATGGAAACGGCAAAAAAACGGCGACCGGAAACGGCAAAACAACTGCTCAGGATTGGAACCGGAGCCGGAACCGGTCAAACAACGGCGACGGAACCGGTAAAACAACGGCGTCGGAACCGGCAAAAACACGGCAAAACGTAACCGGTAACAAAAACGGCCCCGTCGTTTCCAGGGCCCACTAAGGACTGGTGGGATTTGCTGACAAGTTGTCCCTCAATCCCTTCAAGGGCTCATCAATGGTGATTTTCGCTGAGACGGGGCGCCTTCTTCGATGTCCCGCAGGAGAATAGCGATTTGAAATATTCAGCAAGACACGTCGAGCGAGGGGGAGAGGAGGAACATAGAAGTCGCAGGCCAAAGGCCAGAGGGCCGTCCAGGCTCGTCGTCCATCCCATGCAGGGGTGAGGATGAGCCGCCGAGAGGGGCGGCATGGATGTGCATGCAGGGGGTGAGGATGAGCCGCCGAGAGGGGCGGCATGGATGTGGCGCTGCCGAAGGCGGAGGATGAAGAGGAGGGGCGCCGGCAGGCGGAGACACGGAGGAGCAGGGCCGGCGCACTCGCGGCGCGGGAGCCCCCCCCCCCGCGCGCAGGGCTACGCGCCCGCGCAGGCGGGGTACCCCGCCACCGGGCAGGGGTACGCGCTGCCCCAAGGCCCCGCCCGCCGCCCGCCTCCTCGAAGGGGGGGAGGAGATAGAGAAGGAGGAGGACGAGGACGAGGAGGAGGAGGAGGAGGAGGAGGAGAGGAAGAGGTGGACGAGGACGAGGAGGAGGAAAGGACGAGGAGGACGAGGACGAGGACGAGGAGATAGAGAAGGAGGAGGAAGAGGAGAGGAGGAGGAGGAGGAGGAGGAGGAGGAGGAGGAGGAGGAGGAGGAGGAGGAGGAGGAGGAGGACGGGTCGCCTAAGCCCTTCGGATAAGCCCTCCACCCCCCCTCCACCCCCCCTCCCTGGCGCGTGGGGCGCTGGGAGGGCCAGGCGCCGAGCCAGGAGAGCCGCGCGGACCTCCGAAAGTTTGTGGCTGTGCCGCTCCTCCCCTCCTCGCATTCCCTCCCGGGGCTCGCCGCAGAGATGGGGTCGTCGGGGGCGGAAAAGAGGGGGGTGATGACTAGGGGGGGGGATATCATGGCGTGGGCCATGATGTTTCCCCAGATGTCACAGCGCCTCTTCTTCTTTCATTGCGTCCCTGGCCCCCCCGCTGGGCCGCGCACATGCCGCCGTTCATGATTTGCACCCCCCCCCCTTGGACACTCCCCTCTTGGCCGCTCCCGAGGTCGGAGGATCGTGCCACATGGCATCGCCGAGGCGTCGCCGATGTGGCGCGGGCCTCTCCGATCCCCTCCGCTCGGGCCCCGCTTTTTGGCGGTACGGGTAGCCGCCTGGGAGGTCGAGCTTCGGGGACCTCGGCAAGACGGCGGATGTGGATGTACTCGGGCCCCTGTGGGACAAGTCCTCTCTCTCTCTCTCTCCCTCCTCCTTTTTCCTTGTTTAGTCTGATCAATTGCCACGTGTATCTTCTGTCCATGCGCGCAGTCTTCCACGCATGCTGTACACTTATGTCTCGCCTGCCCCTCAGGGGACCGCTCCGCCGGAGCTGGCGCGCAGGCTGAAGGCTGAAGGCCCTGTGGGACAAGTGCATCCATATCTGCCGCCCAGCGAGGTCCTCGAAGTTGGATCCCCCAGGTGGGGGTCATGGACGAGCTGCCTCCTCGCACTGGCTGTTCGCGCCAGTGTGGCCTCCCGGAGGTTCCTCGTCGCCACGGCTGAATCCGCTTCCAAATTCTCGACAGCACACACCCCGACACCCAACGGGACCCGAGCGCACCCATACACTGCAAACTATCGGGCAGATTTCTTCCGAGCCTTCGGCCGCTTCCATATTATTTCTACCCCAAACCCATAACTCCAGCGTCTATGCTGCACGTTGGTATTGCATTTTTTTTGGACGGGGCTGCCCAAAACGAGCAACTGGTCCTGGTAAGGGGATCGGGACCTCTTCGGCCCCCCATCCCCCCAGAGCCCTTCGACGAAGCATGGAAAGGGTGGCCACTCACGTCTTGTTTCAGCGGCGAAATCCGAATCCTACCCTCGCCGATCCACGATTCTGGAGACTCGATGGGTGGCGGAGGTAAGGCTCGGTACTCATCGCGCACGTGGCGAAGCCCGAGCCCACCCTCGCCTCCCACCGATTCAGGCGAATGAATGGTTGGGGGGTGCAGTCAACCCGCTTATCAAGGATGATCATCTTTCCAAAGTTGCCCTTGCATCCTTCCCCTTCGGCCCGTGCTCGGCCGTTTTCTGCTGGCCGCGCCCCGCTCGCAAAGTGTCGACGTGGCCTCCCAAGGCCCCCTGCGCCCCTCTCGTGCAGCCTTACTCTGCCGGTTGGCTGCACTCCCGTCCGCGTGCCGTGGCGGAGCTCCGTGCCTCCCCGCAGCCCGAGCCCTCGACCCGCCTCCAGCACTCGCCGCCGGCACGCGCTCCGAGCCGGCCGCCCTCCCCTCCGGGGCTTCGAGACGCGAGGAGCGAGGCTTGGTGGTCCCCAAACGTGGTGGTGAGAACACCCGGTGGTGAGTTTTGGGCGATTTGGGTAGTAGTTTTCGAGCGCTGGCTGGCCCAGGAAACGCAAAACCTCGTGGCGACCGCGTGTCCCCAAACCCGGTGGTGACCCATAATGTTTTTTTGGGGGGGACTCGGGGTCAGCACCGGGTGTCTCACCACCTGGTTTGGAGACCACCCAGAGGCACTCGTGGGGTGGTCGTCCGCCCCCCGCGGCCTCCTCATGGCCACGACTGGGCTCCACCTGGAACCTCCTCCCCCGCGAGAGTCACGCGCTAGTAGGAGGAGGAGGAGGAGGAGGAGGAGGAGGAGGAGGAGGAGGAGGAGGAGGAGGAGGAAGAGGAGGAAGAGGAGGAGGAGGAGGAGGAGGAGGAGGAGGAGGAGGAGAAGGAGGAACGAGCGAGCGAGCGAGCGAGCGAGCGAGCGAGCGGGCGGCAGACGTCGAGGCCCAGGACACGGACCTCGAGCTGGCGGCTGCGAAGGAAGCCCCTGGCCCGAGAGGTTCCCAGCTTCCGGGTCCCTTCTGGAGACCCTCTGTGGCCCTCTGGTCCTTCCTCGGTGGGTGGCTCTGGAGCTTAGTGGGCCCTGGCAACGACAGGGCCGTTTTTTTACCGGTTCCGTTTTGCCGTTTTTTTGCCGGTTCCGACGCCGTTTTTTGACCGGTTCCGGCTCCGTCTCCATTCCTGGAGCCGTTTTTGTTGCCGTTTCCATTTTCAAGGGACATTTGTTTGGAAACGGTGAAAAAACGGCCCTGCCGCTTCCGGGGCCCACAAAGCCCCCGCGGCCTCCTCGTGGCCACGACTGGGCTCCGCCTGGGACCTCCTCCCCCGCGCGAGTTTGCGCGCTTCGGGAGCGCTCGGGCGGCAGGCGTCGAGGCCCAGGACACGGACCTCGAGCTGGCGACTGCGAGGGGAGCCCCTGCCCCGAGAGGCTCCCAGCTTCCGGGTCCACTCTGGAGACCCTCTGTGGCCCTCTGGTCCTTCCTCGGGGGGGGGCTCTGGAGGTACAATCGGGGCGTTGACCTAAGGAACCCTAAATAAGGAACGAGGCCCCTTTTTTCCATAAGTTGAACTTCGATTCCCCATCGAACACATAAGGAAAACCTGAGGCAAGCTGTGAAACACTCAAGGAACACGGAGCCCCTTCCCAACGAAAAGGGTTCCTTGATTCAGCGACCCGACTGTAGCGGGGGCCTCCTTGGAAATCCTGGGGACGCCTTGTGGCCATGGACCATCCGGGCAACGCCCGACCGGGGCGTTCTCAGAAGGATTTGCACATGTTGGTCAAGTCGCCTGCCTCGGTCCCTGCTCTTTCCCCCCCCCTCCACCCCCACCCGTTCTGGCGCCCTGAGCGCGTGCGTGCGTAAACAAAAAGTGGCATAAACATGAAAACTCGGAGGTCCGCGCGGATTTCTCGGATCGGCGCTGGGGCCCCCCGGCGGCGCCTCCGGCGCCGCCCCTGGCGCGCTCCGTGCGCCAGGGAGGGGGTTCCAGCGCCGATCCGAGAAATCCGCCCGGACCTCCAAGTTTTTATGTTTATGCCACTTTTTGTTCCCCTAATGTCTGGTCTGCGGTCGCCTCGCATGTGTTTTTTGTCGGCTCCTTGGGAGCGGGAGGGGGGGAGGGGGGGGGGCGTGTCTGTTCTTCTGTGTTGGCCTCCGCAGGTCTGTGCGTGGCTCGGGGATCGCTCGATAGCCGTGCGTGTGTGTTTTCGATGATTCATCTGGTGTGATCGGACGTGCTCGCAGGCTCTCGCACGTTGCGGATCTGCATCTGCACCTCTCTGCTCCGTTCTTGCGTTTCGAGCGGCGTTTGGTCATTTGTATTTTTCCTGCCAACGCGTCCACCTGGACGCAAGGCTTCTGTCTGTCTGTCCTGCTCTGTTCTCGGCTTCACGCCGACGAGTGCCTCCAGACCGCGGCGTACCTGCCCCCTCTGGCCCTCCGCAGGGCCCGCGCCCGGGGCTCGCGGGGCGGCGGACACGCGCCGTCCACGCTCCGCCTGCGCCGAGGAGGCGTGCCCGCCTGCTCACTCGACGAGGCCCCCGCTCCGTCATCTGGGCGCCCGAAATGGGTACGGAAAGAATGGGTACGGTGCCCAACAGCAGTTCCTGTTCCTTCTGAACAGGGCTCGCTGTCCGCGCCGCCGCGGCCGGTGTCCATTCGAGGCAGCAGGCCGCCCGCCCAACGGCGGCTGCTGTGGGTCTGGGGCAGCACTTGTTGTTGGGCATTGTACCCATTTTTTCTGTAATTACCCATTTCGGGCGTCCCAACCCAAGTGCGGGCCCCCTTGGTCCACGCGTCGGGTCCTCCTTCTCCTCCTCCTCCTCCTCCTCCTCCTCCTCCTCCTCCTCCTCTTCCTCCTCCTCCTCCTCCTCCGGGTCCGATGTCGATCGGCCCGACTGCGCAATCGGCCCGCGACCCGCTCCCTCCTCGCCCTCTGCCCCCCCTTCTCGCCCCTCTCCGGGCTGCCGCCGCGCGGCCCCTGCGCGCAGAAAAGGGAGGGCGGGATCGGAAGGCGCCGCGGCCTTTGGAAACGGGCAGAGGCCGCGGGCAGACGCGGGCGCGGGAGGCCGCAGGTCCGCGCAGCCTCGGAGTCTGCACGACTATGCCGAACGAAATCCGAGGACAAATCCTTCTCCTCCTCCACCTCCTCCTCCTCCTCCTCCTCCTCCTCCTCCTCTTCGTCCTCATCCTCGTCCCCCCCCCTCCCCTTCTCTCGCCTTCGGTAGCACATCATGGGAGCCTGGTATACCCTCTTCACTCCCTCTCTAGCGTCGATCAGCTTCGGTCAGCGTCTGGGAGTCGATGAGATAGCCGCGAGTTAGCGTCGGTTGGCGTTGATTAGCGTCGAGTTAGCGTCGATTAGCGTCGATTAGCGTCGATTCGCAAGAGTCGACAAGAGGGATGCTCCTGTGAGGTGCCACCGGGAAGTCCGACGGAAAATCCTTCCTACCCCCTCCCCCGCCTCCATCTTCTCTCACCTCTGTGGGCCTCTCGTGCGGTGTGGTGCCATATGGCCACCGCTCTGATATTCAGATCGACCAGATGCCCCACAAAGCGAGAAGGACGCTCCAAAGCCCATGCTGCAGCCAAGACGCCGAAATGTTCCTTTGGTGATTTTGTGGTTGTTCCTCTAGCTCTCCTCATGAACGCTGGCGCTGTGAGCCCACAAGGAGACTCGTTCATGATTTACCGCTCCTTATTTCAGAGGCCCGACTGTACTGCACGGTTTCCCCCCGGGGCAGTAGGCGGCCCGAGGAGGAGGAGGAGGAGGTGGAGGAGGTGGAGGAGGAGGAGGAGGAGGCGGAGGGGAAGGAGCAGAAGGAGGAGGCGGAGACGGAGGCAGAGGCGGAGGAGGAGGAGGAGGAGAAGGAGGAGGCGGAGGAGGAGGAGGCGGGAGAGGAGGAGGAGGCGGAGGAGGGAGGCGGAGGCGGAGGCGGAGGCGGAGCGGAGGCGGCGGCGGCGGCGGCGGAGGAGGCGGAGGCGGAGGAGGAGGAGAGAGGAGGAGGAGGAGGAGGAGGAGGCGGAGGAGGAGGGGGGAGGAGGAGGAGGAGGAGGAGGAGGAGGAGGAGGAGGAGGAGGAGGAGGAGGAGGAGGAGGAGGAGGAGGAGGCGGAAGAGGAGGAGGAGGAGGAAGAGGAGGAGGCGGAGGAGGCGGAGGAGGAGGAGGGATGCGTTCAGGGACGTCCTCGCAGCGTCACAGAGCGTCCTGGCCCCGCCAGATCTCAGAGATTCCCGATGTGTATCCCTCTCGGAGTTGGTCTGTCCCTGTCCCTGCTTCGCCTCGTGGCCCCCCCTGCCCCTGCGATCGCCCCTCGGACGCCGCCGGGGCACCCGGTTCGCGGGGCGGCCGCGGTGCTCCCGCGCCTGGCGCCCGCCAGGCTACCCGGCGCAGGGCTTCGTCGCCGGGTGCGCCTCCGTGCGGGAGGGGGGGGAGAGAGCGGGGGGGAGGGGGGGAGAAGCGACACCAACACCACCATGGGGGCCACCTCCAGCGGGGAGGTCCACGATGTCTCCCCGAGCTGGAGGCCGGGGATGTGTCGAGCGAGAGGGGGGGCCACACCACCAGGGAGACCCCCTTGGCTTCTCGCATCTCCTCGGCCTGGTGGTGTTGGTATCGCCTTTCCTTGTTCGTAAGGAGGGGGGGGAAGAAGCCGGGGGCTCTTAGAGTGGGAGGGTTCGGGGCTCAAGGGTCGGGGGTCAAGGCAATCGGGGGTCGGGCAGAGCGCCAGATCTTGTTGGATCCTGCAAGAATAGGGGTGCATTGGCCCGGGCTTGCGTGGAGGATCCTGCGGGGTCTTGCTGGATCTTGCGAAGCCCGACTGACCCGGGTCTGGAATGACCCGGGACAGGAGATCCCCGAAGGGGTTGTCCCAGGGGCGCAAGCGTGCAGGGGCCCAGACGTGCAGGCGAGCATGGTGCGCCAGATGTGCCGCGGGCTGCATTTGCCGACTATGCCACGTGTTCCATGCGCGCCAGGTACGCCACGTGCGCGGCGCGCAGAGTGTGCCAGGTGCGCCGGTACACGTATCACCACGCATCGGGAAACACGTCGACCCCCGGCAATGCGAAGTGGCGGCGGGTTGGTCAGCATACAGTGTACCTTCCGTATGGTACGCGCACCCAGAAACATGTTGCATTTGGTATTCGCAGGGATGGTGGACACGCACGCACCGCAGTCTGTTCATACCTCTTTGCGAAATCGCCGCGGGGTTCTTGCGCAAGGGTCCAATGTTTTGCCGCAGCTGGCGCCCCGTGGGCCTGCTCACGTGGAGCAATACAATGGCACCCTCGCCGGACTCGTTTCAGAGCCAAGCGAAGTGATCGCGCATCGCCCGAGCATGGTCCAGATTTCGCTGGAGAGTGCAGTAGCAAGGATGGTGGCGTGCGAATAGGCATAGGCCCTGGTTAGCGGCCGCTCGAGTGGGTGAGAGTGTGCGTGTGTGAGTGTGTCGGCGTGTGTGTGTGTGTGTGTGCGGTCATAAGGAGCGGCGATAAGGATCTCCCCCAGGGAAAAGAGAGATGTCGGAACAACAATCCGTTTTAACTACCTAACCGCAGGCCCCGTAGAATAAAGCATACCCAACTCTGCCCACGATCCTCATGATCATCCCTGCGAAGACAGTTTTTGTTTGCGAAGTTGAGCGGCGGGGCCGAATGTCAATATCGCCGGGGGAAGTGTGCATCGTAGATATTATATTCTTAGCATGGTTGGCACTGTCATCATCATCGTCGTCATCGTCATCATCCTCATCCACATCACCATCCTGGTTATCATTACACCTCCTCAAACCCCTACTCATCCCATTCCTCCCCCCCCTCCAGGGAGGCCCCGCAAGAGCGAGCACGGCACTGTTGTACCATGAGACATTCCGTGCATCCGTACTTTCCGCAGGATTCCGTTCGCTCCTGTTCCTCATGTTTCTCCTTCATGTTGCGACCTGCCGGGGGAAGTTTACAATCCCGCCGGAACCCCGAATTCTATGATCCCCACCCCGTGATCATTGGGGGCGCAAGATTACGCCCTCAAGCGCTGGTCTTCTGCTGGTTAGAACGCATCTCGGGAGAGGTCCAGAGGCCGACGCTTGTCCCCGAGACACAGGCTGTGGGCGGAGTTGTTCTGGGTGGGTGGGGGGTGGGGCAGGGCTCGGTTCGATTCCTCCGATTCGATTCGATTCGATTTCGATGGCTTCCGATTTCGATTCGATTCGGCTCGGGATTCCGATTTGGGTTCCGATTTCTCAGTGGAGGCCCACTAGCCTGCCGATCTCCTCCGATCCGATTCGTTTTGCTCGCCGATCCGACTTATCGACTCGATTCGGGGCTCTCCTGGTGGGGGTGTCCCTGCGCCCCTTCCTGCTACCTGCTCCCCTGACCTTCCAGAGAGCTAGTTTTTAGCACTGGAGGCCTAAAAACCTAAAATGCTGAGCGAAACAGCCTAAAACCAAGACGTAGAATAGCTTTGGAAGGTCAGGGTCGCCCCCCCCTCCGTGCCAGCCGCGCCAGGCAGCCCGGCTTCCCGCCCGAGCAGCCCTTCCCGGGGGCGCACCAGGCGGTCCCCGGCCCTCGGGGCGAGGGGGTGCGCGCGCCCTTCCTCCTCCTCCTGCTCCTGCATCTCCTCCTCCTCCTCCTCCTCCTCCTGCTCCTCCTCCTCCTCCTCCTCCTCCTGAGCCTCCTCCTCCTGCTCCTCCTCCTCCTGCTGCTCCTCCTCCTCCTGCTCCTCCTCCTCCTGCTCCTCCTCCTCCTGCTCCTCCTCCTCCTCCTCCTCCTCCTCCTCCTCCTCCTCCTGAGCCTCCTCCTCGCCTCCTCCACGCCGCACGGTGGCCTCGCCGCCGCCGCCGCCACGGGGGCCGTCTCACTTGGGTGCTGCCATGGGTTGTCGTGGCCCGTGGTGGTCCTGGCTTCCCCACAGGTGGGCGCTGAGATCCTGGCGTTGCCATTCTTTCACAGCGGGCGTCTCTGCTCCACTTCGGGCCCCCAGGACCCTCGCAGATAGATGTGGGTCGAAAAATGACGCACAGAGATGGAGTCCAGGGTTCCGGTCGTCATTTGCTGCGTTGTCGCATTTTTTGGGCAACGTCGGATCTCTAAGGGTTTTGCATGGCCTCCAGAGACCCCCCTCGCAAGACCCGGAGGGCCCCGGGGAGCCCCAGCACGTCCCGACAGGCGGGGGCCACTTGGGGCCAGGACCACGTTTGGCAACCGCCGGCCAGCTTGAAACATATCCCTGATTATCCCTGATGCTGGCACCACTTCCTGTCGGTGTCGATCTCAAGGATCCGCCCCAGCTTTCTTCAGGGCGTCTTCCCCCCAGGGTCCTCCAGAATGGGGTCGGAGTAGATGGGGTCGGAGGATCTCGCCGCATCGGCGATGCATCAGCGATGCGGCTCGATGTGTGGCTCAATTTTCTCCACGCCGACGTCGCCGATGCACCGCCAACTTCGCCGATGCATCGGCGATGCACCGCCGATGTTTCGGCGATGCGGCGAGATCCGCCGACCCCACCAACTCGGCCCCCATCGAGGAAGCCTCTACTCCCTGGGCTTGTAAGCATTATGGCTGAGGATGGCCTCGGCGCTGTTCACCGCCGCGGCCGTCGTCTTTGGTGCCGCCAGCGGCGTTGACGGCGAAGCCGCGGCTGTTCGTTGGTGCCGTCTTCGTCGCTTGGTTGTTGTCGTCGTCGTAGCCGTTGTCCGTCAGCGTCTTGCTCCGCCGAGGAGGCTCAAGGCGGGCTGACGCGGGTTCTGCGCATACTCGACTCGATCTCGTGGATTCGGCGTGCATTCGACGTTTGTGCGACGCGGCGGACTCGAGGCGGACTGGCGAATCCGCAGTGGCTTCGACGCGGATCCCACGTGGACTCGTGGGCTCGGCTTGGGCTCGGCGCGGGTGCTGAAGCGAGCGGAGGGGGGGCAGGGGCAGGCGGGGCCACCCCGAAGGTTCAGCAGCCCGCTGCCATTCCCTGCTGCCGTTGCGCCCTGCTCCCGCCTCTGATCTGCTTCTGCTGCACCCTCGGGGCCGCGCCCGTCGTGCCCACATGGCGGAGGTCTCTTGGGCCCGACGCGGGTTCGACGCGGCTTCGGTGGGCTCTGCGCGGAGTCCGCGCGAACGCCGTTGCGAAAGGCGGTGCGATGGGGCAGACAGGCCGCCTGCTCCCGCCCGTGATGGCGATGGTGCTCCCTTGACCTCCGACGCCTTGACAACACAACCGGGAGCCCGTTCCTGTATTGCTTGGGGCATGACGGGCGTCATGGCCGCCAGCCCCCCCCTCCCCCCCCCTATGACGTAACGCCTCCCCCCCCAGTGCGTTCCGGGCATTGCCGCCGAGCGCGTCGTGATCCGAATAGGTGTCCGCAGGGGAATCTGCATAGGAGTCTGGTCCGCAGTCGTCGTCGTCGTTCTCGTCGTCGTTGTCGTCGTCGTCGTCGTCGTCGTCGTTGTCGATGTCGCTCGTCGCTCGTCGCTCGTCGCTCATCGTCGTCGTGCACGCGGGCGGAGCTGGAGCCTGTTCTTTTATTCCGGGCCGATGACGGCAATCATCTGGGTGGGGTGGAGGGGGCCGATGACGTCACGTTTCGCGCCGGCGGCGTCTGGGAATGCCTAGGAATCACCGAGGACGGGTAGCAGCAGCATGTCGGTGGCGATCTGCGCCACAACGCGTGTGTACACCATAATGCCTGCGTGCACCACAGCGCTTGTGTACACCACACCGCCCATGTACACCACGGCAGCCGCGTGCCTGTTGGCACGCGGCTGCTGTGGTGCCACACCGCTTGTGCCACAGTGCCTGTTGGCACCACAGCGCTTGTGTACACCACAGCGCCTGCGTACACCACGTCAGCCGTGTACATCACAGCACCAGTGTACACCACAATGCTTGCGCGCACTCAGCACGGCACGAGTGAGTATACTATTCTGCGGTGCACGCTGAGACGCGCACGTGCGCTATGGTGCCGACCCGCACGACAGGGTGGAGGGGCGAGGGAGGAGGAGGAGGAGGAGGACGAGGAGGAGGAAGAGGACGAGGAGGATGAAGAGGACGAGGAGGCGGAGGTGGAGGAGGGAGGATGGAAAAACGTCGCATTCTATTATCAGCACTTCCCTGGCGTGGCGTTTAGCTATCCTCACCAATCCTCACCGACATGCTCCTTCTACCTGTCCTGTGCACGCAGGCGCTCTGTTGTACACCAGCGCTGCGTTGCACGCGGATGCTGTGGTGTGCACAGGCGCTGCGGTGCACGTAAGCATTGTGGTAAAGACAGACGCTGTGTTGCACATGGCTGCTGCGGCGTACACATTCGCTGTGGTATACACCGACGCTGTGGTGCATGCAAGCACTGTGGCGTACACAGGCGCTGCGTTGCACACGGCTGTTGCGGTGTACGCAGGCGCTGTGGTGTACACAAGCGCTGTGGTGCACGCGGGCACGGTGGTGTACAGAGGCGCTGTGGGGCAGATCGCCACCTGCATGCTGCTCGCGTCGTCGTCGTCGCCGTCGTCGTCGTCGTCGTCGCTCGTCGCTCGTCGCTCGTCGCTCGTCGCTCGTCGCTCATCGTCGTCGTGTGCAAGGGCGCGGCTGTGGTGCCGGAATCACGCAGCGGGGGGGGTGCGTTACGTCATACCCCCCCCGATCCCTCCCCTCCCCCCCCATGACGCCCGTCATCGCCGATGACAAGGAAACGCGCTCTAGCAGAAGGTTTGGTTTCACGATGTTCGGCCTCTGGGGTCAGTTGATCCGGCCCTGGTGCTGTCAAACCACGGCTCACGATGAGCGGCCTGTTCCCGGGAGGGGTTCGAGAGTCTCCAGGGCCCGCGCATGGAGCACATCAGGACATCAGTGGTCTGGGGTCCTCTGCTCCTTCTCCTGGGGATCCGCCGGCAGAGGAGGGCGAGGAGGAGGAGGAGGAGGAGGAGGAGGAGGAGGGGGAGGAGGAGGAGGAGGGGCGGGAAGCGGAGGAGGGAGGAGGAGTGAGGAGGAGGAGGAGGACGGAGGAGGAGAGAGGAGGAGGAGGAGGAGGAGGAGGAGGAGGAGGGGGAGGAGGAGGAGGAGGAGGAGGAGGAGGAGGAGGAGGAGGAGGGAGGAGGAGGAGACGAGGAGGAGGAAGACAAGTATCAGGGTCTGGGACTTCTTCGGTCATGTTTGCCTCTGGGGGCCTCAGAGCGGCCCGATCCAGGGTCCCCATGGAACCTCTGCTGAAAAGGCCTGAGCCTTGTTGCACATGGCGCTAAAAACCATAGCTTTCCTGAGGAATCTGTGCCAGCTTAAAAGCAGCAGGCTCTGAACGCAAGTAACACAGACCACATGGCTAGCTTGTGCATGCTGGGGGCGGGGGTGAAATTGCGTAACCTAGATCACGCGGACTTCTGTCCAAGTTGCGAATAACCTTGCATTGCCCATCGCACGGGCGGTACTGTCTGGTGTCCCTGAACACCAAGTGTGTGGGGCCGTGGGGTACGGGGCGGGGTGGTGGGCGCGGTCGCAGTCAAACTCGTCTGGTTTCAAGCTAGTTCGGATTTCGGGAGGACCTGGAGCTCCCTTAGGTGTGTAGTGAGGTTCGTCCATCAGCTACTCTTACTCGAACATGTAGGCGCACGTACTCTCTTGATGTTTGGCTCCTTGTGGCAAGACATCACTGCACGCGTGGTTACCACAACATCTAAACTTTGGACCCATACCTTGCCCCCACCAGAAACCAAGTTCATAATGCCAGGAATGACAGGGCACAGGCTGTCTTTCATGCTGGCGGTGCGTGGCCTCATCTGGCTGGTCATGACCGCGGCCCCGAGCACGTGTCTCAAGGGGAGAAGTAAGAACAAGTTGTCGGACGTGCTGCGTAGCTGTGCGGTTTGATAGCATGCTGCCACATTGTGTTACAACATATTAGGCCGACCATCGCGAGGTAAATCGTACGATGAGCGGCCTCTGCGGCGGAGACCTTTTTGGAAGACGACCGTTGGACATCCCCGCCAGTGTGGGGCCAGACCTTGGTGTATACTCAGGGGAACAAAAAGTGACATAAACATGAAAACTCGGAGGTCCGCGCGGATTTCTCGGATCGGCGCTGGGGCCCCCCGGCGGCGCCTCCGGCGCCGCCCCTGGCGCGCTCCGCGGCGCCAGGGAGGGGGGTCCAGCGCCGATCCGAGACATCCGCGCGGACCTCCGAGTTTTTATGTTTATGTCACTCTTTGTTCCCCTAGTACTGGCTCTGGGACACAGCTCTATTCGAACATGGGGTCTAGGAGTGTTGCTGGTGGGCTGCATCGTTCCTCACCACGTGCTCCTTCTGGCCCTCTCTCCCCTGCCGCCGCTGCTGCAGCCACTGTAGAAAGTGTTGTTCGGTACCACGCTCGTCTCAATCGTGGATGTGTGGCTACTGGTGGTGGATCCCGTTGTCCTGGTCGACGTCGTGATGCTCAACTCCGTGGCGTTGCTCAGTGTCGGAGTCCTGGTCGCAGACGTACTGCTGGAAGACGTAGTTGTCGATGCACTGCTCGTCTTCCTCCCAGGTGCGAGGCTGTTACGGCTGGATCCCGTCTTCTTATGCAGCCTCGTAGTGTTCGGTTTCATTGTGTTGCAAGGTGTCACGATGGTTCTGGATGTCTTGCTCCAAGGCGTGGTGCTCGTTGCATTGCTTGTCTCTTTCGTACATGTGAGGTTGTTGGTGCTGTATCCCGTCGTACTGCTTAGCGTCATGGTGCTCAGCTCAATCGCGTTGCTCAGTGTCGGGGTGCTGGTCGCCGACGTTTTACTGGAAGACGCGGTGTTCGAAGCACTGCTAGTCTCACTCTGATGATGCTCGATCCCCTCGTTGTGCACATCTTGGTGGTGCTCGGCTCTGTCGGGCTGCCCACTGTCGCGGAGTTGGTCCTGGGCGTCTGGCTCAAAGGCGTGGTGCTTGTTGGTGCACTGCTCGGGAGGGAAGAGAGATAGAGAGAAAGAGGGACAGAGAGATAATGAGACATATATATATATATATATATAGAGAGACAGAGACAGAGAGAGGGGGGGAGATCACGGAGAGAGAGAGAGAGAGAGAGAGAGAGAGAGAGAGAGAGAGAAAGAGAGAGAGAGAGAGAGTGAAAGAGAGAGAGAGATCAGGGAGAGGGGAGGGGAGAAACATGGGAGAAGAGAGAGAGGGATACATATATATATATATATATACATAGAGAGAGAGAGAGAGAACGAGCGAGCCAGAGAGAAAGAAGGATAACAAGAGAGAGAGAGAGAGAGAGAGACAGAGAGATGACTAGAGAGAGAGAGAGAGAGAGAAAACAAATAAAAAGAAACACAAAGAGAGAGACAGGGCGACAGAGAGAGAGACATCTACCAGTGTCCGGAGGGCCGTGCTCGCACGAGCGCAGCGCGCGGCCGCCGGCCGCAGCCCGGGCAGAACATCTGGGGGGCCGGGCAGGAGCTGGGGAGCGGGAAGGGGTGGGGGAGAGAGAGCGCGGGAGGGGAGGGGGAGGTCAAACGACGCGAAGATCGGGTTAAAATCGGATCGGGATAACTCGAGATCTCTGAGAATCGGCGGGTTTGGAGGATGTAGTGGGCGCCGCGGCTGCTCCAGAGCGTTCCGGGACGCTCTGAGAGCGCTCCGGAACGCTCTGGAGCGATTTTTGTTCCCCGATCCTAGCCCTGTTGTAGAGGGGTGGAGAGAGAGAGGGCGAGGGGGGTCGCCCAATGCCTCTCCTCCTTCCCGTTTCCCTGGTGCTCGCTCTCCTCCTGCTGCTCGCGCCGAGCCCCGAGCCTCCTGCGTCGGTCGTGCCCCCGCCCCCCTGTTCCCCCCCCCTTTGCGGCCTGGCAGGGCTACGCCACCCAGCAGCCGAGCTACACGCAGCAGGAGCCCTCCACCCTCGCCCGGGCTCAGGAGCGAGCATGAGTCCACGCTTCTTTCGAGAGTATGCGCATTGCGCGAACGTTCGTAACACGAGATTGGCCTCGCGGACGGGGGGGCCGTACTCATGTACCAGTGGTTCTGCGCGTACGTTTCCCTGTGCGCTCCCGAGTGGCGGGAGGGGGGCGGGAGCACGCGCCGCGGCGGCGGCCGCCGTCGGGGGAATGAGAAGCGACGCCATCACCACCAGGGGGGGCCACCTCCGGCGAGGAGATCCACGATGCCTCCCCGAGCTGGGGATAGGGGATGCCTCGAGCGAGCGGGGGGACCGCACCACCCGTTGGTAACGAATGCATGGTTGCACGAACACGTTTGCACACGTACACGTACATGTGCATTGTTGGGAGTATTTATATTTATACACATATATCTAGAGAGAGAGAGAGAGAGTCATACGTACACGAGCGCAAGCATAAACATCGGTTTCTGTAAACATGTACAAAACACACGCGCTTATGCGACGTCGTCGCCGTCGCCCTGTTCTCTTCGAGGTTGGGGAAAAAGGGGCGAGGGGGGATGGTCGAGTCAGATGCGCCCGCACTTCCTCCGACAGCCGACCGCGTGCCCACGGCGCTGAGGTTTCTCGGTCCGCGGACGCGTGTCCGAGCCGACCTGCGAATCGGAACCCCAGGAAATCGGCCAGGATGTGGGATGAGGACACGTCCGTTCAACATCGGTCCCCAGACTTCTCTGGGGACCCAACTGGTGCAATTCCTCACCCTGGGGATCCGTTTCTGATGGTCCCCGGGCCAGCCAGTGGCCCCCAGAGGCCGAAGAAAACACAGAACCCTCCCCGGTCCAGACGCAACGAGAGCATTGTGTGGCATGCGCAATTGGAAAAATGGGAGTTGTGCGCTAAGGAGGAAATAGTGGCGGGTGAGCCGGAGGATGGGGGGGGAGATGGATGAGGACGAGCATTGGCAGCAGCAGGCGCGAAAGCGCACATATCCTGCGGGAAATGCGGACCAGGGCAAGGCGGAAGAGGGGAAAGGAGGGTGGGCGATGGCGATGCAGGAATATTTGGATTCGGAAGAGTGGCCCGCGCTGGGGCGAGACGAAGAGCAGCAAGAGGCTCTGGAGTTGATGGAGCAGGGGGAACAGGAGGACCAGGGAAAGGCGGGAAAGGGCAGGGACCTACAATGAAGCAACGCTCGGATACAAAGAACTGGCCCGCGCTGGGGCGAGAACGCCGTTCGGAACGACGGGAGCGGAACGCCGATCCGAGTCTGAGGCCCACGATACAGCGGGAGCACCGTATTGAGACAACGAAGACAGGCGGATTGCAACAAGCAAGTAGCAACGTGCTAAATTCTTTTTTGACTTCGTATATGCATAATCGCGGAAGGGGCAGGAGATCGTCCGTACAGCCCCAAGGGATGAGGGGGCGTACTTCCCATGTTGTGTCAATAGGAGGAGGAGGAAGAGGAGGAGGAGGAGCAGGACGAGGAGGAGGAGGAGGACGAGGAGGACGAGGAGGACGAGGAGGAGGACGAGGAGGAGGCCGAGGAGGACGAGGAGGGGAGCGAAGAGGACGACGAGGAAGGAGGGGAGGGAGTTGCTGAGGAGGTGCAGGGGTATCCTGTGGCGCTTGGGAGCCTTGGGGGGGCCTCGGGGGCCTTCGGGGCCCGTCCGTCGGCCGTCTCGCCCTCGGGGTCACGGGGGCCTCCCGCGGCCCGTCCGCAGGGTGCCGTCTGCGATGTCGCCCTGCTCGGTGCCACGGCCCCCCCCGCTTGGGATCGGGGGGAGGGGGTTATCGCCCTGGTCGGTGGGGGGACGGCCCCCTCCCCTGCCCGAGTTCGAACCTGAGCACAGCGCGGAAATGCGAATTGTCCGCGCTCTGCCGGGCAGCCTCGCCCGCGTCACGAAGCTGAAACAACGCTCGCGCAAAGCTCAACCAAAACTCGAACGAAGACCAAGAAAGGTTCAATCTAAGTTCAACTAAAGCCCAAGAAAAGCTCCGGCAACGCTCCAAAGGAGCTCAAACACAGTTCTATCAAAGCGCAACCAAAGCGCAAGCAAAGCTCAAAGACATATCAATTCAGGCTCAAACCAAGCGCACACAAAAAGCAACACACCGATCGAACAAAGATCAAGCAAATCTCAAACACAGCTCAAGGTCAGCTCAAACAAAGCCCAACCAAAGCTCAACATAAAGTTACACAAATCTCAAAACACTCAAACACAGTTCAAGCAACGCCCAAGCGAAGCTCCAACACAGCTCAAAGAAAGATCAAGCAACACTCAAACAAAGAACAAGCAAAGCTCACATGAAGCTCAAACAACATTTCAAGCAGCGCTCGAACACATTCCAGAAAAGTCTCAAACAGAGCTTAACCAAGCGCAAACAAAGCTCACATCAATCCCAACCGAACTTCAACCAAAGCTCCAACAAAGCTCAAACCGAGCTTTACAAAAGATAACCAAGTTCAAACAACGCCCAAAGAAAGCTCAATCCAAACTCAAGCCGAGCTCAATCACAGCTCTGCCATGGCTTGAACAAAGCTCAAGCAAAGCTCAAACAAAGCTCAAACAAAGCACAACCAAGATCAAGTCGGCTCAAATTCAGGTCGGGGAGAGAATCGTACCCCCCCTCACCGATTCGGACGGGGGGGGCAGTCTGGACCCCCCCCCCTCCCCGGTTTCCAGGCAGGGGGGCTCCCCCCCCCCATTCTGCACCGGCGGGCAAGGGGGGGGGGGAGAGAGGGAGGTTCTGTGTTCCCTCCTCCCCTGCCTTCCCACTGCGTAGCAGAGCCAGTTATCTGATACGACCCTTTCAGATTTTGCCGCGGTCTGTGGTGGCGTGCGGTTACCTATGGATGAAAGTTCTGTGTGTTCAATGGTACTGTCAGGCTTCGCGCGGTCAGCGTTCGCTCCTCGTCGTAGTTTTGCCCAGGGGTTCAGCGACGTGGTGACGTTCGAGGGCCGCCCCCAGACGATCGGTGGGGCCGACGCCGCTGTCAGCGTGCTCTGGTGGGCCACTGGCTGCCCAACATGACGAGGCCAGTGCCATTGCTGCACTGATCTCGGCCAGGTACATCAATTCGTATGGCATGCCGTGCCGTCGTAATCATCCTCCTACACGCTGCCCGTCGTCGGGGGGGTCACCACGGTCATCACCACCAGCATCATCACCACCATCAGAATCGCTCCGTACGCGCTGCCCATCATCAGGGGGGTCACCATCCTCATCATCATCATCATCAGCATCATAAGCAGCATCAGCAGTCACGGAAGCATCAACATCATCATCACCAGCATCGTCCTCATCACCATCATCATCCCCATCATAATCATCATCAGCATCATCATCATCACCATCATCATCATCATCATCCACCAAATCAGCATCATCATCATCAGCATCATGATCATCAACAACGTCAACATCAACGTCGTCATCCTTACAATCATCTTCATCACCCTCGTCATCATGGTCATCCAGTCGCACACCGCGGCCAGGGCTACCCGGCGCCGCCGCAGGCCTACTCGCAGCAGGGTGCGCCGCCAGCCGCCGGCGTCCGCGCGCGCTTCTGGCGTGCGGCGCGTGACCGATCGTGCGTCCGTCTATGTGTGTGTGTGCGGGTATGTGTGTATGTATGCGTGCGTGCGTGAAGGCGTTTTTGTGAATGTGTGTGTGTGTGTGCGTGCGTGCGTGTGTGTGTGTGTGTGTGTGTGTGTCTGTGTGTGCGCGTGTGTGTGTGTGTGATTGTGTGTGTGCTTGTGTGTGTGCGTGTGTGTGTGTGTGCGTGTGTGTACTTGCGTGTGTGTGTGTGCATTTGCGCGTGTGTGTGTGTATGTGTGTGTGAGTGCGTGTGTGTGCCTGTGCGTGTGCGTGTGTGTGTGCGTGTGTGTGTGTGTGGGTGGGTGTGTGCATGTGTTTGTGTGTGTGTTTCAGCGTGCGTGTGTGTGTGTGTGTGTTTGTGCGTGTGTGCGGGGCCCTTCTTCTGGCCAAGTTGGTTCCCTCTCTCGTCGTCGCTCGCTCGGCCCGTTCTGAGGCCGGCGCGCGCGGGGTCCAACTCGCCGTGTTTGACTTTCTCCGCGTTGTCACTGCTCGCGAGGCCGCGACCGCCAAAAGCGTGTGTGTGTATGTGTGTGTGTGCGTGTGCGTTTGCCCGCTCTCTTGCACCGATTAGGTGCCGGTACCTGGCCGATCACTGCCCACCCGGGCTGAGGCCCACCGGCGTAGTCCGCAGTTCTGACTGGCCGAAGGGCGCGCCCCTCGCCGCCTCCCCCGACTGCGAGCAGCTGCCCTGGCCCTCCCCGCGGCCCACCCTTTCCACCCGACCAGGGGGGCCCCTCTTCTTCCTTCCATCCGCTCTGCGCCGGTTGGGTGCCCCCCCCTTCGCCCGCTCTGCCCCGCCCCACGCCGCGGGCCGCGCCGGCCCTGCCACAGCTTCGGCCCCAGAGCGGCCGCCGCCCCGTGCCCCGGGCCGCTGCCGGCCGCCCCGGCCGCAGCGGAGGGGCCGAGCCTCTCCACTGGGGCAGCGCGGGGGCCTCTCGCGAGCCCGCCTGCGGGTCGGCGGCCCGGCGCCCTGCCGCCCCGCGCGTGCGCGGCGCAGCCCGCTGCCGTCGGTGCGGCCCGTTGTCGCCGCCCCTGCAGGCGGGGTCCCCTGCAGGCGGGGCGTCCTCCTCCATTCAAGCACGTGGCGAAGCATCCTGGCGCGATTATAGCCCTGCCACACACTGTTTTGAGAACCTTCGGTGGTTCCCACGGAATGTCCTTAGAACAGTTCTGGTCGGGACTGTCTTGTTCTCAGAATATTTTGGGTTCTAAAAACATTTCGTGGTAGGACTATAGGAATGCCGGGACGGTCGGTCCCTGCTCAAATGGTCGCTGCGCTCCTTCCCCGCCCGCTTCTCCCTCCCTCCGCGCGCCGCAGTGGCCCGGAGCTGCTGCCTGCAGCCGCCTCGTGGGGGACCCGGGCCTGGTCCTGCCGCCGGCCGCCTGTACCCCACGCCGGCCCAGCAGCTCGCTGGTGGCTCTCCTGTGCCGCACCACCAGCGCATCCACCTGGGCGACGCGCGGCCCGCCGCCTTGCACTTCGTGCGCTGGGGCGACTTCCTTGAGGAGGGGGAAAGACACACACAGACACAGTGAATCGTCGATTCCCAAAAACGGTGGGAAAAGATGGGAAGTGGGGGGAAGACAAGAAAAACCCAGAACATATGGGAGAATACAGGGAATCCTGTTATCTGTGTGTGTGTGTTTATTTGTGTGTCCCAGGGCCCCTTCCTCAGTCCCCGCTGGCGGGGCCGGCCGCGCCCGCCGCCGGCCGCTCCGAGCGTGGCCCGTCCCCCCGGGCGGCCCTCCCTCCCTCTTGCCTCCCTCCCCGCGGCCGCCTGCTTTACCGTCTGCCCCTCCTCTGTCGGGCCGAACGAACCCTGACCTTCCAGAGAGCTATTTTTTAGCACTGGAGGCCTAAAAACCTAAACAACTAAGCGAAGCAGCCTAAAACTAAGACGTAGAATAGCTTTGGGATAGGTTTTTAAGTCGCGGGCTATTTTTTGCCCTCTTGGAAGGTCAGGGAAAGGGGGGGGATAGGGAAAGGGGGGGTACGAAATCTGCCGCATGCGGCCGGTTTCGGCCCCGCCGCCGGGCCCATTCCTCGATACGTGGGCGGGAAAAGCAGCTACGTGAGCTGATACTCACCCCCCCCTTTGCTATCCCCCCCTTTCGCCCGACCCGACTCTTGCAGGGTGGCCCATTCGCTACATTGGTGCCTCCGTTTAGTTGGCTCCATCCGCCAGCGCAAACGACCCCTGCCTAGCCGCCGACGATAGATTGTGCGTGTGTGTGTGTGCGTGTGTGTGTGTGTGTGCGTGCATGTGTGTGCGTGCGTGTGTTGTACAGTGGTTGCCCTGCTTACCTCCAGGGCACCGTGGGTTTCGTGGGGTTCGATGGTGTTGTCACGGAAAGCGTGACGCTCCCGCACCAAAAAAGATTGCCCTGGGGTCTTAGGGTTGGGTTTCTTGTGGAGGGTTTCTTGTGGTCGAGCTCCTACCGTGTGTATGTGTGTGTGTGTGTGTGCATGTGCGTGCGTGCGTGCCGTAACTCTCATGATTTCCCCCCGCGCCGCTTGCCACCTTCCCCCCTCCCTTCTTGCCTCTCTCCGCCCTCTCCCTCGCGACTGCCCCTCTCGCGCGTTCGTTTGGATTCGGCCCGGGCGTGCAAGGCCGAACGCTGGCGGAGGCCGGGAAGAGCCATCGGGGGGCGATGCGGTTGGTACCTCCGAGGCCCCGGGCACGGCCCAGGAGGGCCCCGAGACGGTCCAAGGAAACCCCAAAAGAGGGATTCCAGAGAGTGCCAAAACGGGTCCTGGGGCATGATATTTTGAGATGCGGGGCCCAGCCCACGCTGGTGGGGATGGGGATCGGTCAAACGATATGTCCTTCGGGAGTTGGGCGCCGAGGAGGCTGCCGAGAATGGCGACCCGACGCTCGCGGTGCGTCCCACAGTCGCAGACGACATGGCAGCTGTTGGCAGTGACGAGGCGGGAGTGGGCGCGGCAGAGGACTGACAGGTGGCCAGCGGGTGCAGGCAAGGACGGGCGCATTGGCCATCGTGTGGACCGAGCTCGGTTTGCTTTGGTGCAGCTATCAGCCAGACCACCGTGGGAGCTGCAGAGGAGGTCGCCGGCGAGGACAAGGATCGAGTACTCGCTCAACTTCTCCCTCTCAACCTCTGCCACCTCACCCTCCCCTTCACACAGTGGACCAAGAGGGGCAAACAAGAGTTTAAACCTCAATCCTCCTCCTCGCTCGTTCTATGCCGTTTCTGCGTAGATGCCCGTCCCATCTAGAATTAGGGATGGGTTGGTGTCCCTCTCATCCTTCGGGGCATTTAATTATGCGCTGGTCCCTCGGCCACTGCACTGTTCGTCGCGATGCATCTCTGTCGGCGCGCTTTTCACTGGAGCTGGGGCTTGCACCTGCGTTGCCAGTGGTAGCGCGTTGATACGGACTGCCGCCAAGGAGCGAAGTTCGTCGCGGTTGGCAATTCGCGATTCGTTATCCTCATTTTCGGATTCTTGCGACTGGAGGTCGCTTGATCAGAGGCCAGCAACCTATGTGCACGCAGGCAGCTCAGCTTCTGCTGGCCTGCGACTGACTCCAGTCAACCGTGCACACGGGACCGCGCTGGGTCCGCAGATCCGCGTGTCTTTTGTACGCGTATTCGTTCAGTTTCCGCTGGACTGCGACTTACCGCGGTCAACCGTGCACGCGAGACCGCGCTGGGTGCGCGTATCCGTATGCCTCTGCAAGGGCACCTTCGGGGGTGCGAAGGTATTCGCGCTTCGCTGGCAGGCTCCGAGTCCTCGGACAAGCTTTTCATGTATTCCCAAGCAGCTCTTCTCGAGAAGCCAGCGTCTCTTTTGGCGGGTTGTGGGAGGGCCCCTCGTCTGAGAAGAGAGACGTCGTGATTCAGTCAGCCCAGGTCTTGCACGCGTGGTCTGATTGCGACCGTTCTTTTCCACGGAGCTCGTGGATCTTCCTAGACAGCTCCGTCGCCACTCCGTGCATGTCGGCTTCGGCTTCATGCTTCCTGGTTAGGTTTCTCTTTTTCAGATGGCCGTGCCAGACGTTTATCCATCGCCACGGCCGTTGCTCAGTTTGTCCAGTCTTTCGTGTGTGCTGTGATGGCTCCAGATTGTTCGAGAGGCGGCGCGTTTCCGCGCCCACTATCGAGAACCCCAGCGTCGCAGAATCGCAACCATATTCAGTCCTATCTGCGCCAGTCTGGGATCAGCTCTCTCTCGGTCATCTTTTGGGGCTTTCAGGACCGCCTCGGGCCCGTCCTGCTCGAGCTGCATCATGCAGCTTACCTCCGGACGACAAGCTTCGGTGTCGAGATGATGGAAGCGCGGACACGTGATTCCAGTTCCAGGCATCCCTGCTTGGAAACTTGACTTCTGCTCCAGGCATCCCAGTGTTTAATGCAATACGTCGATCGTTGCAATCGTCAGCTTCCGATATCGCTTGTAATGCACTGCTTTGCCGGCTGTTGTTCATTTTGCATTGCGCAGCACCCCACCCTTGAGTCAAATGCCAAGGCGGGAGTAGGCATGCTTCGTCTCCCCACTCCTTTTGGTTTGTAGGAACGCTCCGAGGGGGAACGAGTATGTAGCTCGTTTTACGCGCTGCCGCCTTGTCTCAATGTGGCGCAAACCTATCTGCCTGCGTCGCCTGCGCGGCGCACCAATTGCGGCGGGGGGGTGGGACATGGGTATATTTCCTGCCCTCCCGCCACCGAGCTAACTCCTTTCTACCTCATACATCCTTGCCATGCGATAGCTGACCCCGTTCTGACTTGTTTGCGCGGGCGGACGGGGGAAGCAGGGAGGGAAACAGGAGTGAGGTCGGAGGAGTAGTCGGAGGAGCAGGCAGAAGAAACGAGAAACAACAACGCCCGGCCATCCCTCCCCGCAGCCCAGCCGCGCCGACCCTCCCCGCCTCTTTCGGCAAGGCGCGGGCTTTGGCGCGCCGCCCCCGCCGGGCTACCCCAACCAGGCGCGGCCCGCCAACGCTCGCCTGGGGAGACCCTCCGCGGGGAGTGCAGGGCTCCGGGGCCCGACCCGGAGCCGTCCACGGCGTCGGCGTCGGGGTGGGGGAGGGCGGAAGGGGGGGGGTGGAGGAGGCGAGGGAGGACAGGCAGGAGCAGGAGGAGGAGAAGGGCGGGGGAAGAGATGGGGGGGGGGGGAACGTGCAGGAGCGGGGCGGAGCAGGATCGGAAAGCGAAGGGGGAGGCTGCCTGCTGGCCCCTTTAGTAGCGTCCGGCGGGACCGCGGCGAGGGGCTGCCCTTCGCGGTCCCATCGCCCCCCCCCCGCGTCGTGCAAATACTCACAACGGAATGTCCCCCAAACCTCTGGCGAAGGGACGTCCCCAGAACACCCGCAAATTGATGCCTCCAGCCGTGGCAGTGATCCTCTAGCGCGGACTCTGTTTTGTTTTTGTTGCCTGACCCCCTGACCCCGGGGCCAAGACTGGATCCTTCTTTCCCCGTGGTCATCTTTTCTCTGCTTCCACTGGAGTGCCGTGGCGTGCCCAAGGAGGATGGAGAGGGGGGGGCTGGAAGGACAGGAGCAGGAAGGAGACACGGGAGGATCGAGGATGGCGACGACGGAGCCGACGAAGGCAGCGATGCCACATGTGACAGGCACGGGGGCGCTCACCCCCCGCGGTCTCGACCCCCTCAGTTTCTGAGGAGGAGGAGGAGGCCCAGTCAGGTCCCCCAGATGCCAAGCAATGGCAAGCGTTACAGCCGAGATCGGGATCCCCGCCCGAGAGCGCGAGGCGGGGCCCCCGGGGAGCAGTGGCGTGCCGTGAGCCGGGCGGTCGCGGCATGCATCCGGCACGCGTCGGCGGGAGTAGCTGCCCACGTGGGGCCCGGCGGCCGCGGTACGCAGGGCGTGCGGGGCGGGTGTCGGAGCGTTGTTCGTTACATGCATCAGCGCAGCCCTTCAAGGGATCTTCCGCCGACGTTGTCTCACGACTCGAGGGGGTGTTGGGGGCGGCGGCAGCGGCGGCGACCAACGACGGCGAGAGGGGCCGACCCAGCGTGGAGGGCGCTTGAGGTCGACTCGACGCCCGCGGCCTGGGCGACGGAGGCGGCGACGACGGCGAGGCCGCCGAGGACGGCGACCTTCGAGAGCCTCTGGGGGCCTCCCGAAAGTTTCCCATCGGGGCGACCGTGGACGTTCCCGCGTGCTGGAAGGGCGGATTTGCATGCACCCCTGCAGGCACCCTGCTACCCAGAGTGTCTGGAACGAGGGACCTGGATGATGCCATTCATGTTGGCACATCGGTTTGCCCCCACCCGATAGGCTGAGGCTGCTACATTTCCACAGAGAACTCCCGTCGGCCCACCCTGCATGCAGCGGTCCTGAGTATCTCGCCCTCGCGTCCTCGACGACTGCCGACACCCTGCGTACCAGACAGCCTCGAGGGGGAGGTGTCACGCCGTGCAGGTGTCACGATGCATGAAAAAAAGGCATGATCATCGACATCAATAGCGCACAGCAAGCATTGCCAAACATATCAAAACAACCATCTTTCTACGACCACCCTTCGGGTGATGAAGAGGTTGTGGGGGGGCGAGGGGGCAACTGATGACAACCGCAGTGGCTGTGATGATGACGACGCTGGTGACGACTAGTCGCCGACGACGCACGACATTGCTGGTGACAATACGTGATGGCGCTCATCGCAGACTCGATGTCACCATCTACCGACCTCGCGACCAAAGGATGCCACGATCGATGTCCTTAACTTTCTCTCTAGTAATATCATCCTCCATCTACCTGTCGATCTCACTACCGATCTTCCTGTATCGATCGGCCTCGCGATCTATCGATCTTACAGTCGATCTCACTATCGATCTCACGATCGATCTCACTATATCTATCGCTCTCAATATCGATCCCGCTATCGATCTCACTACCGATCTCACCATCGATTTCACTCGATCGATCTTTCAAGCGATCTTATTATCGATCTCGCGATCGACTTCCACTGGACATCACGGGACACCGCGGGTGACTGCGCCACGGGCTACAACGAGCCTTACGGGACACCGGCGGGGAACTCCCGGGGGGATGAGAGATATTGGGGTTTGTTTCGCCCTGGCCAGGGTGGGATCATTCCCTCGCCCGCCCACGCAGCTTCGCCTCGCCCGCACGCACGACACGAAACCGACACCGATTTCCTTGTGGCCGGCTTTTTGTTTCTCTGCGATCTCGCTCCCCAATTTCCGATTATGACAGAACAGAGCATACCATAATGGACCATGTTAAGCCGTGGATACCAGGACAGACCATAACAAAAATGCACCATACGTAGCACCCCGCAGTTGTGGATAAGAGTGAGAGGGCGGCGGGGACGTCTGCAGTGTGCGCGGCTCTGAAGAAGCCCTCCGCAGGCGCAGCATTTTCAAGCTATACAACGAGCCCGCCGCAGGCGCCGTTTTTTTGTGAAAACAATGTGGGTGGGTCGCGGGTTGGGTCGCAGGTGGGTCGTTTCTGGGTCGACGGTGGGTCGCGGGTTGGTCGTGGGCCAGGTCGCGGGTGGGTCGCGGGTGGGTCGCGAGCGGGACGCGGGGTGGGTCGCGGGTGGGTCGCGGGGTGGGTCGCAGGTGGGTCGCAGGCCGGGTCGCGGGGGAGACGGCGACAACCAACAACAATAACAGCACCAACAACAACAACAACAGTAACAACAACGCAACAAGCAGAATTTTCACCACGGATCCGCACTTAACCCACGCACCCAGGGACAATGAATGACCGTTCGGCCCCTCACTCTGACCAGAACGAAGCACCGTGTCACAGCACAGATGAGCACCTACAATAATTAGCATCATGTAACAAAACATTTAAGTTCTTTTGGCACCATACCGACGTAACATAATTGACATAGCGGGTACACCATACAAGAGCATGGTATAGGATATGTAGTTATCGTGGTCCCCAAACGATGTGGGTCCAGAATTTCGTGTGGTGCAAGCTACATTGTGGAGGTGCAACCTACGTGTTGCAATCCATGTTTTGCAATATATGTTGTGTAGTCTACGTTGTGCAATATATGCGGTGCAATCTATGTTGTGTAACCCACGTTGACCGTCTTGAAGCTGTCCTCTCCGCTGCTCGTGCAAACATCCCGCCCTCCCACCCGCAACTTGGTCGCAAGACATCTTCAGACGAGACCGTGACGGTAGGTACCACATGGCACTTGGCCACGACACCGACGACGACGACGACAGCGACAACGACGACGACGGCGCCGCCGACACCGACTACGACGACTCCGACGACGTCTCCAACGACTTCGACGACGACGACGACACCGACGACGACGCCGACGACAACGACGATGACGACGACGACGACGCCGACGCCGACGACGACGACGACGAAGACGACGACGACGACGACAACGACGTCGCCAACGAAGACGACGACGAGGGAGGAGGGAGGACGACGACGGCGACAACGACGACAACAACGACAACGACGAGGGAGAAGAGAGGACGGCGACGACGCGAACGACGAAGAAGGAGAAAGGACGGCGACGCCGACGACGACAACGACGAGGGAGGACGGAAGACGACGACGACGACGACGACGACGACGACGGCGACGAAATAGGAGGGACGACGAGACGCCGACGACGGATGACGACGACGAGGGAGGAGGAGGAAGGACGACCACGGCGACAACGACGACGGAAACGACCACGACGCCAAAGAGGTCGACGACGACGACAACGAGGAAAGACAGAGGAAGACGTAGGCGACGACGACGACGACGCGGGAGGAGGGAGGACGGCGAAGACGACGACGACGACGACGCAAGAGCGCGAGCGCCCCCTGTTGTTGAAAATCCGTGTTGCGAAACCTTGTGTGTTTGTAGGTTTTTCAGACACACGATTTTGAAATCCTTCCGGAACCGATGGGTTTCGAAGGATTCCGGCATACGTCCGCGACGACGCGCGCGTCTGCACTTCGTTCCGTTTTTTGCAGAGGATTCTCGCGACGGCACACGAGCAAGGGCTTTCGACAGATTTCGACATGCGCGCGCGAAGCCGGTTTGGTAGCAGTTTGTGAAAATCTTGAAAATCGTATGGTTTTCTAAAGGTTTCGCAAGAGCTCGCGCGTATTTTTTTTGTTTAGCAAATCGGTGTTGCGATACCATGTTTTTTTTTTTTGGTTTTGAAACTCGAGTGCGAAATCGCTCCGACACCGAAGGTTTTTGAAGGATTTCGGCATGCGCGCGCGACGACGCGCGCGTGCGCACCTCGTCCCTTCTATTGCGAGGCCCTCGCGAAAAAATGTTATGCTAGCACAAAACATGTCACCGCATAGTGTTTTGTACAAGGGAACTTCGGGGGGGGATTCCGGCTCCCCGGGGATAGTGTAAATTCGCATTTCGGATGGACATGTGGTCGAAATCATATATGATTTACATACCCGAAAAGGGGGACGATAACGCGGGGAGAGGTAGAGTTTATTTTCTTTTTAGAAAGGAGAATGTATCGTGTGCAGAATGAATGGTGTAATTTGCGTGGCACAACCTATGTGGTGGAGCATGGGTTGTGCCACTTGAGTGGAGCAAGCGTTGTTGTGCAGTCCAAGTGGTTTGGTCTATGGTGTGTAGGCTAGGGTCTGTAATCTATGTGGTGCAACCTGTGCTGCGCAATTTGCGTTGTGACTCTATATCCGCAATACAACATATATACATATAGATAGATCTAAATATATATATGGTTCATACTATGTTGTGCAGATCGTCCTGCAGAAGTTGAAGTTGTCATGCCCACTTCTCGCATAGTCACCCCACCCACCCACCAGCAACTTGGGTTGGCAAAGCCCATGCTGATGCGATTGCGATGACTGCTTGGTCCTGGCGGGCGCGTCTCTGTGCAGCGCTAACTTAAATGCGAGTCGGTGACCCGGGCGGGTGCGGTATCATGATGACGTCGAAAAAAGACAAACTCTAGCGGTGCGTGTGATGATGAT